AGTCCGGATTCGACGCTGCCAATACCCACGATCATATGAAGGCACAGGTTGACCTCGATCTGGCTCTCAGTACCTTCTTGTTTAAGCTGAAGGATAGGTCGGACCTGAGCTGCGATGGTGAGTGTTCATGGTATACGCTCATCATCGCTCGTTGCCCCCGAACTGAAGCGAGCCCTGGAATTTCGATCCGTCAGTTCTCAGTGCCACCGTAGTATAAGAATAAACACCGAAAATCTCTAGTGATCAAGAAGGATGCATCGCTTAATCTTACAGCACTGCATCCCATCGCATGACTTTGGGCGGGACGAAGAAACAAGCGATTTGATGGGGTTCAACTATACGCACGTTCAAGTCGCTGCTCCACTGAATGTATGAGAGCAATGACCCTCCTTGACTCAATACGATGTCTGATCAGCAAAGCTAACCGATCGGTCTCGAACGGTTACTAGTGATATTTCCAGGATGGAGGATCATACTTGATTCGTCCAATGAGGGTACTTCGGATTCGAAATCCCTCAACAAGAATGCCTGGGGCTTGTCGGAATTTACCCGCAACTCTCCCCTTCCATCGCTGCCACCGAACGGCCCTTTAGAACGGTCGAAGGGGCGTATTTGCTATCTACTCCACTGAGGTTAGCCGACTTGCATCAGGATTTTGCCGGTTGGTCGACATCAGTCGAGGGCTTGTCGGGAACCGAGATATGGTCTATCTATCGAAATAATGGGAGTGCCGAGGAACAGACGGAGACGGACATCATTCACTTGCCTAAAGGGGGAACTTGCAGGTGAGTTGTTCTTCGAACGCATATCCCCTCGCCTCTTGCTGCGACTCACGATGACGATGTGACTTGGTCTCGCGCGATTCTCAGTCCCATGCTCCTCGGAGTGCCTCACTCTGTCTATGCAATCGGGCCAACAATCTGTTGACTCCACCACGTCTGCATCACAACGCTTTCGCCCTATCTCTCGATGACTGGACGTGATTAGGTCAGCACTGCGGCAACGATCAAGTATCGGTGAGCTTGCGGAATCAGAAGATTAGGTTAATCGTGGCCACGGGACTGACTTTTCTGTTTTCCTCCTTGGGGATCGAATTTGAGCTTCACAGCAAGCACACGTCACAGTTTCACAACTGCTTCCCGTTCATCACGACACGTCTCCTCACGACATACTCAACCTTTGCAAGAAACGGGATCTCCGGAGGCCGATTTGGCGGCGGTCGACCCTCATATCTAAGCCATACGTCCCATATTGAAAGCAGGATCTGAGGCGGTATGGCGATGCGAAGGAGTAGACGAGGATCAAATTTGGGTCGACAGACTCAAGCGATAGATGGCGGGAATCCTGAGAAAGGAGAGGAAACAGGGTCGTCTCCAAAATGGAGGCGAAGCCGCCACCCACACGAGCGTGCGGTGTGGTCCGACCTCGGACCTTGACCTCTCTGGACTCTGGCTCATACGAGTATTCAGCTTGCCGTGCTATACATATAGCAAGCTCAACAACCTGGAGGACAAGTACCTATCGCTCTCTCGCCGTCAAGACTACCAGTACTCGCGCTTGGAATTTCACGTCGTTCAGTCTTTGGCTCGGAGCTGAGATTCGTTGGCGGAAAACCTTCCTTGATCGTACGACCGAGCTCAATCGATGATCGGCGGAAATTGTCTTAGAGGGGATAACCCGCTTGAAGCTCCCAATACCTCCTCAACTTCTACTCGATACGGGACACTCCTTTCCTCGGCCCAACTTGTTCCGACAAACAAGCATCACAAGCAGATCATCGGGACCGAGCTGAAGAGGATCGTAAGATTGCGATTATGGTCACGATTGCGAGACGAGATGGGATACGGAGTGAGTTTCGTCTCCATTTCGAGCGTGGACATCCTCTTCCTTCAGCTCGACGTTCTACATCAGCCTTCCACCTTCCGATTTCTCTCACCGATCGTTTGACGACTTGACGTTTTCGAGTGAAACTAAGCTGATCTGATCTATCATCCGGCGCTTCTTCCCCTCCGCCTTCGTACATTGCACATCGCAGTTCGATTTTCACCTCCAGCTCTGCCTAAAGCTCCAGCTCTACGTCAATCTACTCGCTCGACCGCCACTACTACCTCTTTGCTCAACCGGGGTTAGGACGTCATGCCATACCATGTCGCTCCCGCCTGGCTGTGCATTCCCGCTGGACCCATAACCTCTCGTCGCCACGCTCGCCCTACATTAACGCCCACGATCATGCCGGCTCGAACTCGCCTGATATCGGCTGAATCGTGACGTTCAGTGACGTCGCAACTAGGAGGAACGCGGTATCACAAGGAATCTTCTGGCTTTCGACAATCAGCGTTCACCTTTGTTATTGACTACAGCTTCGAGAGGAATTCGAAAACCAACTCCGACACCGAGATCAACCCAGTAAGCAAGAGTGCAGTATCTCGTCTCCAAGACAAGCAGCCCGGAGGTTCAAGAGAGGCATGTGAAGTGGACAAACGAGCCGGACGAGGCGGGCAGGATACCACAACGATGAGGTGCAGGGGGAAGAGCGAGAGGAAGGAAGGATCTGGAACCGCCAGTGATCTTGGTGCTGAGGGTCAAGCGGGATTGAGGAGAAGGGGTCGGCGATGACCATCAGGGTTTGAACAGCCGAGCGGAATGCCATTGGGACCAGGTCTGGGGGACGGCAAGGGATGGAGGAAAGAGACGGGTACAGAACGGACTTACCTGATTCGATCAGTGAGAGGGATTCCAATCCAAAGCCACGATTACGCACAGGTCAAATACGAAGCTGATCACAACCCGTGCGGCCGGTGGCCTGTCATTTTTGTCTCTGCTCTCAGCGCTCCGGCACAAAAGGGTTTTTCGGCAAAAGGCATTGTCGAAACTCAAAACGCATGACTTCCTCGGTTAATTGGACTGCAGCCATCGGGGATGTCAATGACATGTCCATCACCGTCGACTTACCAAAACGCACAATGCCTGTGTTCGATGCCGTCTGAGCTTGACCACCAGGCCTCCGTGGGAAAGCTTGAGCGGATTCTCGGAGGCATCGGCTGCTACGTATCAGGTCAATCGCTTGTCAGTGTCAATATCAAAATCAGAACAATTCTACTAATTCGGTATCGCATGCGGAACTCCCTCACGGATTTTCTAGGTTCAGGCCGTTGCGTCGATATGAATTCAGGAAAGTCGCTCTTTGATGGACGTCTCGCGGCCCTTGGCCACCCGACTGATCTCTGGTGTGCCGCCGTAGAACGATTCGAACCGTGAGTCTACAAACGATGTACTCCTCTGCGATCAAGCTGTTCGTGTCGGCAAAATGCTGACAGCCTTGTCTCTATCAGGAAGCGACGAAGCGGAACATGTCGGATTGAGAAGGACGGTGTACTTGGTATGGACGACGCTGTAGGGGAAGCTTGGCAGGTAAGTCGACAGGACGTTTGCAAAGCCGGTTCACCACCTATCGAGTTGAGCTGATCTTCTCGTCAATGATTCGTAACGGAGCGAACAGATGAAGATCAGTGTTCTTTCGCCACTACCTCAAACACGAGTGAAGTCCCATCCCGTTCAAAAACACTCTGTGGGTCTGGCAATTACAAAGGATCCTAGACTCTCCGGGATTTACAAGCATCTATCCATGATATGAGTATTGCATGAATTGCGTGCACTATCAGTGATGATAGACTACCCGTAGTCGAAACCGGGCTGATTGACGAGCGAGAATTCCAAACGAACAAAAGAATCCACGTCTACCCCTTCGACTAGGTTGGCGGTGGAGGGTTCGGAGCGACGTAGCAGATACGGCTGGTAGACCTGGACGACTACAGGATTTGGCCCAGGCGCCAGTGTGATATCGTTCCTCGATACGCTGGTCGGAGAGCTGAAGTGAGTATCGGTACCGTTGCCAGCTCTGTTCAATAACTTTCGAGGTGGTACCGATCACTCAGCCTTTAAAAGCCGAAGAGCCAGAGATATCGAGCTTTCCTCTCAAGAGCGATGAAATCGTCGATCACTACCTGACTCACTGACAGGTCTTCACCTGTCGATGCTTACTCCATTTCTATCGATTCAATCGGAAGCGACTCCCTCTTGCGAACCTAGAACTCGGACACCGCGCGCAGAACTCGAACAGCGCAAGGAAGGGTCGACAATCCTCAATCTCGAACCGGTGGAAGTGACTTTCGGAGGAGGTGTCTGAGGGCTTTATCCGGACAGCTATAAAGCACTCATCTTCCGGTTTGTAGATGTACATATCCAGATTGATGCAAATCTTTGTCATCTCGTCGGCTGCTACCAGTGAAATCACGCTGGGTGTTACGGACTTGCGAGTCGTTCTGCTCCTTGACCTAGCCCAACATATGAACCTGCGATCCGGTAAGCCATCTCCCGTCCTAAGCATTGGAGTGGCCAGTCCGCATAGGGTTCTCTCACCCATGCGATCGGAAGAAATCGTCCATCCGCCTATCTGCTGGCTACACACAGACGAAGAACTGTCACATTGATATACCACCGCGGTCACCGCAGTCACCGCGAGGCTCTCTGCGGCGCAACAGATTTTCTATGCGGTCAGCGGTCGTGCCCACCCCCTGCGACTTAGAATTTTGTTTGACTTCGATTCATATTCATAGTGAAGGTATCTTTGTTGTTATCAGCTTATCGATACTTCTGTGGCGATTCAATCGATTGAGTGATTGCGCATCTCAGGGGCGATCCCGATGAACCGACAAGAGCCGCGGTGATATGACCCCGTTCCGTCAACAGCAAGCCGGTCCTGTTCAGCATGATGATAGAATTCTCCAAAGAGATAACCAGAGTTCGCACTGGGTCTTCGAAGGTGACAACCTGTCATCCTGTTTGACTTCATCAAGGGCGTCAGCGGTCATTTAGCAAGGAGCCGGCCACTTGGTCATTCGGTATATCTCAGCAGATTCTAGGTGACGGGGATGGAAGCCGTTTGTGGCTATATCCCAGGATAAGACTTGTCGCTTTGCACTGGTCGATTTTGATGAATTGGGAGTAATGCATCGTACAAGCGATCGACTAAACTGACAAGGTCAAGCCTCTCGAACAGGTTGCACACCGCCGCAGCGCGCAATGTACGCGATCAAGCATATCGTGTTATACACCACCGAAGTTCATAGCCGAAAAGATTGGCGAATTGGAAGACAATCTATCCCTTGTGATGGCTCTGAATCCCTACATGATATTATAACGCAGCCGGTAATATAAGTATACACGCCACGTCGTCGGATTCTATTCAAAGTCACCGCGATCATGGTCACCGCGCGGTGACAGATGTGGTAAGAGTATCTTTTGCCGATTGACGGGATCGAGAAATTCCGGTCTAGTTGGCATTCCCAGTCGGCGATGGCGCAAAGTATTCGAAGATGACCTCCTCGGACAAAACCTTCTCGCTGGATCTCCTTTGGAACCTCTCCACCTCCTGTTCAAAGATGAAGACGGCGAACTCGAAGTTGTCCGCGTACGCGTTGAGGGGACACTCGGTCGCCTTGAAGAAACAACTTTGGATCCTGCGATCGTCGGCAAGCGTCCCGTCGACATTTCCCTCTGCGTCCCTGAGGAGCTCCAGGAAGAGGCCTGCCTGTCTGAGCCGCACGTTGCGCAGCTTTTCAGGATCAGGGGGATCGTCGACGTCTTCCGCTTCATCACCAAAGACACGCCTGATGGCCAGGCTCGTGGGCATGTATTCTTCCAAAGCGATGACGAGCCGGACAGTCTCGAGGTCAAAGCTGTACCGGCCCATCGCGTCTTGATTCCATGCGGTGTCAGCGGCGAGACGAGGAATGAACCTCTTGTGTTCCGGAAGCCAGTGTTTGGTATCCTCTTCGATCTGGCGGCATTGTTTCAGGGCGAATGCATAACGGCGTTGCGATTCCTTGTGATTGATTCTCGCCTGGTTGCTGTCGCTGTCTCGATTCCCGTCTGTGGACCTTCCTTCCTGGCTAGTTGAGGGAATGTTCCCCTGCCCATTGTGTCGTTCGCTAGCCGGTGTCTAAAGTTCAAAGGATCAGAACGATGTAGCTCCGGTCAGCAAGTTGGAACACAAGATACGCTGATCGGGCCGGGTAAGATGAAGAACTCACGCTTGACTGTCTAGCGATATTCTTAGCAAGTGGTCTATTCAGTCCACCTGTGTGATTCGGTGTCTTTGCAAGATAGCAATTGGTATCAAAGTCAGGACTATCTCGTTGTAAAAAGGTGTTCGTTACGACCTTGAACTCACGTTCATTGACATCGGGAAGGATTCGGCATCGGCCAAATCAGCGATGGAACTTCAGGTGCGATTTGGCGAGAGGCTGAAATTGGTATTGATCAAAGATTGCCAGGCTAGCGATGGATGAAAGATAGATTTTAGAACATGCAAATGGTTGATTGAATGAAGCTATTAGCTAGTAGCTAGTAGTAGTGCAATCCTGATTGATGTGTTCGACGGGTGATGGAATGGGATCGTGCGGTGTCAGGGAAGCGCGGTATCGGAAAAGCGCGGTGTCGCTGCTCAATCCACTAGTACCTAACCATTCCCCTTTGCTTGCACTCATGTCCTATTTCTTTGAGATGAATCTGTACGAAATCGTCACAGCATGATTTAGAGCGTTATAAACGAGATGCCACCTGTCAAGTCTCGCAGGAAGGCCAACAAACCTTTCAGATCCGCTCTTCCAAAACCTGACAAGAACGGGATGAGGTTACCTCTCCCTGATGATCAACACTATAGTGAAAGACACGACAAGATCATGGAACGCCGTCCCACCAAACAGAAAGCCGCTGCTACCGACACCTCTTCATCAGTCCAACCTCTCCTCACTCGTCTCTCGTCGATTCCGTCCGGAGACCCCTTCCTCTTCGCCTTCACCTCGGACGAACTCAATGCCGATACGGTTCAGGCTCTCCATCACCGCATCGACTATTCAAAGACCGTCCGCGAATTGACGCAAGCGGAAAAGAGCAGGAGCATTCACTCCTCGGCCTCCAAGAGGAAGGCAGCTACAGATATCAAGGTTCACGGAACGAGCCAGAGGGATAGGTGTTCCAAGTGTAAGCAGTCCGGAGAAAGGTGTATCAAGGTGGTCCAAAAGTCCAAGTGAGTTCCGGCTCTATATCTCTGCTCGACCATTACATTCCAGAACGACCCATCACATCATACTCTATCACAACAGTTCATGCTGACCCCTTAACCTTTCCTCATCATGCGAACTCATCAGGTCGATTGGGACGGCCAAGTGCGCACATTGCGTAGCCGTGGGCAAGCCATGCCTTTCGGGTTCACAGATCCCCTTCGGTAACGACGACGAATCCTTGTACGAGCCAGAAACCTTTGAGCAGATGCTTAAGCTCGCTCTGGTTCCTGTCACGGGTGACGGGGATGGAGTTGGTCACGGGGATAGAGATGACGATGAGTACGGCAAGGTCTTGCGGGTATGGGTCAAGGGCAATGATCGAACCGTCAGCCCGAACTCGCAAAAGAAAAAGGTCCTGCCGAAGTCAGACGATGGAGATGATGAAGGAGAAGGAGTCGCTACCAACGGAAGGATACCTGACGAAAGGATTCACATCGACGCCGATCTCGATGCAGGGGGAGAGAATGCCCGTCTGGATGTTACGGAGCAGGCTGGCGGGATCGAGAAGGAACAGGCTGGCGGGGTCGAGAAGGAACAGGAGAACGGTAGACCGGGTGGGAAGGAGGCAACAGATCTCGCTAGGTATGGCAACCTGCCGCCGAGCAAAGCCGTAATGGTCCAGGACAAACTGGATCAGCCGGATGCCATTCATACGGATAGTCACATCGCTAAGGGCAATGTCACCGCGGAGATGCCTACCCGGTCGCAAGAATCGACGGTAAACCACACCGATACGAGTACAGTGTCAGCTCGCTGGGATGGATATGACAACGACGGGTTCTTCGAAGGCTTCGACGATGCCTACCCCGCCTACGAACCGCCGGCTCACCAGGCGATCCCGCCGAAAGCTGGTCCAGCACCGCCTTCCCTTGAAACCGGACCGAGTCGACCTACCGAACCGCTCTCGACGTTTCAGGAGAAGGACAGGGAAGCCGAAAAGGCATCGGCGGACCCGTCGTCTACGGTTCAGAAAAGGAAAGCTGAAGACGGACTGGGCGAGGCAGACGGGAACGAGGACGAAAATGAGATAGACCCGGGTTCTCGCCCGTTGAAGAGGAAAAAGGTCGTCAGCGATGTAGGCGCCAAAGCCGCCGATGGTTCAGCACTTGGTTCGGAACAGGTCAACAGCACATGTCGAGAGCAAACCGAGAAAGCCATCGTCGGTCGGCAAGAGGAAGTTGTTGCGTCTGGACCTAGCTCGGAGCGACAGAACGCTGCTAGCAGCCAGGCTGAAGAAGCCGATAACCCCGAACCTGCCCATAAACAGGTCCTCAGACCTCGTCAAGAGGCGTTCGAAGAGATCGACAGTCCTCATCCAGAGGAAATTGATACCTCGAAACCTCGCCTGAAGGAAGTCGTCGGCATGCGCCACCTCGGCCTTTCCTACGAAGCTAAACCGAGCGGCAATGTCGGGCTTGAGGAAGAGATGCGCTTATACGAAGAGCAATTCCAGAAGTCGTGGCGGTCCCGGATATCCAAACCTTTGTCAACTCACCTCGATCTCAATGGTATGATCAACGAACAAAGCGATCGGAAAAGTGACGGAAAGGAGGAACAACCCGAGGACAGTAGACTGATGTTTGCGGAGGGAAGGGATGGGCCTGATGATGGACGAGTGGGGCGAGTTGATGGGTCGAAAGCCGAACAGATGCAGGTTGATGAGGATGACGACTCAGAGAGTGCTGAAGAGGACAGGGATGACCCGATGGAGAGCGATGAAGAGGAAAGTGAGAGTGATGATGCCGTGGTCCCACGTGCACCTAGCGAAGAAGTCTGATGGCCTTGTTCAAACGAAGAACGATACTGGAGAGCCTGTTGTAAGAGATCCTCAAGGACATGTCTCGCTGATCCATATACCCAATGCAGACCTGGCTTGCGCGTCACTGTAGCGAACTGAACCTTTCCATTACGTCCATTCAACAATGGATCACTAACCCCTAAACCTTCTCTCTCCGACCCCGTTATTCGTCGATGCTACTTAGGACTGTCTATAGCAATGGCTTGGGTACCCGCGGTGTCTGGTCATGGCGGTGTCTGCGGTGTCTGCGGTGTCTGCGGTGATTTTTTCACCTCGGGGCTATCTCAGCTTGACTCTTTACCTAAACGTCATACGTAGCCCCCGTCGACAGCAGATTCCCAGAATGGTCTTCGCAGGAAAGCACATCTGGTACGATGATCGGTGTCGCTGAACGAGGAGGAGCGCGGTACCGTAGCACGTCGGTAGCAAGTGTGACGTGGAATCGAGGGTGCTACAATAATACTGGTGATGTGAACAGAAACAACCCAGAATGAAAGCACGGTCGCGAGGACTGTTTGATCTTGTAGCTGGGTGAGATGGCTGGAGAAGAAGAGGGAGCAGGCCGGGCAAAGATCGTCAATGCTCCGCACTTCTTCATTATCGATTGAGCTTGACACATATGGACGGTGGGAAAGTTCCGGTAACTATACTTGTATTGCATGTGTATAATGCGGTCTTCAAAGGTTCAGGAAAGAATGAGTTGCCGGCTTATTACTAAAGATATCTCGCACTGATTTGGTTCTTGCATCCCTATGTCACTTCTTTAGGTGCAACTACGTTGTCCACCGGGGAACAGTAGCTCTGCGTCCACATGCAAGGAAGGGATGAATTCCGGAGACATCCTTGTGTAAAACACACTTTGACATGATTGAAAAGAAGAGAAAGGTCGAACCGGATACTAGATCATCGAGCGCGACAAAAAGGGTGGCTGTTGTAGAAGAACATGGAGCTCGATGTCTGTACCTACAGGGGGAGAACCCTCCTCCGAAGCCAACACTTCAGGGAATACAGTATTCATTCGAGACTATCCGTGTCTGGCTTGACCCATCGAGATCCAGAAGTTGATTCAATCGTTTGCTATCATAGGGCATCGTAATGCTGTTCCGCAGCCAAGAGAAGATCAAGGAGGTCCTTTTGATTTGTTTCTGTAGCTCTCGCGAATACGGTCGTGTTAGAAGACAAGGCGAGTGTGTCGTCTTCTTGCAATAGCCTTGGATTATAAACCGGGCTTTTTGTCCTGTGTTTCATGGCGGCGCTCAATCCTGCATCATCCTTTTTTGACACTTGCAATCTCTCGACCGCTGTCAATGCTATTTCCTCCTTCGCCATCGCTTTCCAAGCTGCTCGAGCGGTACCTAAGGATGATTGAGCTCCGACATAGATTGCATGCGCATGCATATGTATAGTCTGTACGTAGGTTGTGATACTGACGGGACTCCTGGAAACCTTGTGCAACGGCAACAACATCTCGAAAGGCAAGAATTGGGCATGCTCGCCAGGAGACTGAAGAGGCGTAGGGTTGAATTTGCTCGATCCCCCTCGCCACTGATTTGAGCGCTACTAGTCGGCTGATATACTCATGTCAAACAGTGGATGGTACTCGAAACCAGCGACTTCATAGATTGTTATGCAGTGGCAGCCTCACCATGAATTACGGCTGGGCGGTGTGCGGTGTCTGGGTGGCGGCGCGCTAGGAATCAACATCCGGCTTCCACGCGTTTTACATCGTCACCGCGGGTCATCCCTTGATAATCGTACATCCTCTTCCGCTCCCGGTCTGCAACCTCTTATATTCCCTGACTTGCAGCGCTTTCCACATGGCAACAGTGGACGCGACACTCAAGAAACAGGTTGTTCGTTATGGAGTCCTGATTCGAGTTGGCGATCTGCGAAATTGTCGACCCTGAACCGGTCGCATGTTCTGGCCCAAATAGAGAATTCGTGGTGGCAAAGCGAGAAGCAGTCAAAAAAGTCACAGGCGATCAACGTACGATGGATATAATTGATGGTGTCATCTCAGAGATTGCTATCTCCATCATGAAGGTTCTTGGCAGGAATTCAGGTCATCCATTTCTTGTGCAAGCCGATTGAGCGCGATCTCAGCAGATCACCGCAGAGGCAGAGCACGAACACAAGAACTGGCAGAAGACTGGGCTCGAATATATCAAGAGAAGCAGGAGGGTTCCATCATCCATAATTGGGAAACGTGCTTTGAAAAGAAGGGCGTCAAACAAGCACACAGAACGAGGCTCGAGGTCATTCAGCAGACGGGCTCGTTCTATCTAAACCAGCGCGCGCCTCTTTCGCATTAGCTTCGCGGTGTCACCTCGGCCTCTCTCCTTCGACTTGCAGCCAGGTTCAGCTCTGCCCTGTGCTAGATAGGTACTCTACCCCATCCATCATGCTCGTCGACTATAGTATCTAGCGTTATCGAGTCTTTGTCAGCGAGTCTCCAGTTCTCGATACCGCTTGCGCTTCGCAGCACTATCGCACGGGCGTCGATGAACTGCATAACGAAACGATACGGCAGCGGGTTCTGTCACCGCAGGTACGATTGAAGAGGACGCAACCTGCTTGGAGATCCAATCGCCTGCGGAAATTCCGTTTGCGCTACGGAAATCGTATTCACGTAACGGGGAAAGGAAGCCACGACGATAGTGCATGGTTTGTAGAGCGCAAGGTTCAAGTACTCTTGACCAAGCCGAACAGACATTCAGTGCCAATCTGCCATGTACTCGATGTACGGGTCAGGGGTGATGGGTGGTCAATAAAGAGCGATCGGGAGAAGAGATGATGAGCTATGGTAGATGAAGTATACAACTGATATCGTATGGAAAGGTCGAGCGTCCAGCGCTTCCGGGCGTTAATAACCCTAAAACGCGTCGATCTGAAACCAACCTCGACCCCCTTTCTCAACCCGAAGCAAGGCTCAACTCCCTTATCGCCAAAACCGCGCTGTCGAATTCGTCGGCTCCTACTTCGACCAGACGCTCGGCTGCAGATAAGCGTTCCCAGAGATTTCATCACTATGGATTCGATTGAAACAACCTTCCCTTCGCCGTCGCCTCTTATCTAAAAGTAATCATCGATGATTGCACCTCAGCCGCGCCAGAACCGAACTTTATGCACGGAGGGCAGGAAGTGGAAGAACGAGATGTGAAGCGACAAAAGAAACGCGGCGGAGATTGTGATGTAGAGGATAATGTCAGCGGAAGAACAAATACATGCTGATAAGATTCATAGGCCGCTCCAGTGCTACTCCTCATTCTGAGTATGCTTCTCGTTACAGTTCCACCTTTTGTCTCATCATCAGCCCAATCCTGGATATTCCCGTAAGTCCCCCGTCAACACCCAAATCCATCCCTTCGCTTTCCAGCTACCTTCTCCGAGCTGTCGTCAATACAATAGTGGGATCTGGGTTCTCGCCCAGCTGCAGACATTAAATAGGCGCTCCGGCACCGGGATCCCAAGGCAGACTTGTGTCGCTGGATCCTTTCTCCCAGGATGTATCTGGGTCTGCCATTCACGGCGATCCAGCATGCGGATGCATCTTTGTTGGAAACCCTCAGCTGGTTTCGGGCAGGTAGAGGGTAGTTCTGAAGGACGAGGATGATGAACTGTGCGGAGCAATTGAACACGAGTAGGTGATCAGTACTCAAGTATGTCGTCGATTGGTATCCAAATCCGATAAGGCCGACGTGCGTTCATGTTTGCGAAGAGTATCTGGTCGATTAGTCAGTTCCGATAGAATGCTCTTGACGTCGTGTATGTCAACTGTATACGATAATACCAATACACAATTGAGCAGCCGAGCGAAGCGTATGCTCGACTTGACCGCTGTGTCGAGACGGGGAGATCGGTACGATCTCTGCAGATCCAAGTAGAAAAGTTCATGTCAAGCTGGAAGAAGACGCCTACGGTGCTGAGTTTCGAACGAGCGGTCTAGCATTTTATTGCAATGAATAATGACATCACGTTTATTGTATATTGCTTAGGACAGGTGTAGGGGAAAGAGACAAGCCCGAACTCGATGTTGAATAATACTGTTAGATCATTTCAAATCCCGCAGGAGCCTTGTTCCATTCTTTCCTCATCCATATGCAGGAACATCTTCTCGATCCAGGAGACGAACGAAATGATGTGCCGCTTCAGATGTAAAATGTCGGTCTGTGATAGGATTTGCGCATTAATCAGACCTTACCTTTTGAATCCAGGAGGTGAATGATCGAGTGTGTGAAAGATGTCAATGTGCGACAGGATTGGCACATTGGCCAGAGCTCCTGTCATATTGGCGGAAGGGATATTGACCTTAACGTCCAGACAAAGGTACTGTATCAGATCAGTCATTAGCCTAGCACAGTATCAACCCCTAAGGACACAAAACTGCCAGCCACTTCTGTATGACGTACGGGTTAGGGGTTAGCTTTGAACATCATATACTTTCGAACTTGGGATTCATGGGGAGCTCCAGACGATCCGCGTGTGTTCCTGTTCGCTGTGATCCTGACTTTGTAGGCATCCGGGAGAAGTATAACAAACGACAGAGGGATAACTGGTGCACTGACTTTTATTGCATTATCATAATGCAGTTCACGGGATAGTCGGATTGCGCCCGCTTGAAGATGGTACTGGTACAACGCGAGATCGAATTGCCTTTTTGCATTACCACTTCACTTCTTCTGTTTTTACCACCATGGCCTCAGGGCATGACACACTCGCGGAATCGAACTGCATCTCCGCAAAGTCGCTCCATTCCTTTGAAGTCCATTTCACCAAACGTCGCCGTCACATCCGGAACCATTTCCGCCAAGTCAAACCGCCGGGTGACTGAAGGTTTCGTCCCTCTACTCAGACTCGCAGCTACTCTTCCTGGTACTCGGTTCCACCTTGCCTGTGAGGACCCCGGGTTGTTTCTCTCTCAACCAGGTTACGACCACAGGTCCCGGCTGAATGTTCCTCGCTAGATTCGTTTGGCAGTATCACGTGGATGACCAATATATCAAACATCTGAAACGTCAGCTGTCATCCACGCCGCGATATCGAGTCTTTGTGATGGCGATATTATAGACGAAAACATACATTATAGAAAGTAGTCCTCGAAAGTGCCAGATTGGCGGTTAGCTTCCTGGCCATTTTACTCGAAGCCAACGTTCCTCTGCAGGAATTATCGCACGTTGCGGGGAGGTTCGGTGTATTCGAGAAGAGGTTAGGTTCATCGACCGAGCGAAGTTCGGAAACTTACACATCTTGGGCGCAGCCATATGTGGTATAGCGGCTAAACTCCCGCAACATGCGGCGTCGCTTCGCATTAGTTTTCAACCCCTAAGTGAGTGACAGGTTGCGGTCGATGCGGTGTCTGCGGTGTCTGCTACGGGGCGCCAATTGGACCACTTCCGTTTGCTAGTAGTCGTTTAGTCAGCAACGTTTAGTACACAACGTATACTCGTTACTCGACAGCGTTTAGTCCTTTACTCGACATCGTTTAGTCCTCTACACTACAACGTTTACCTGATACCCAATATCGTTTACTCCCTGATACTGTTTTCATACATATACCATACGTCACATACTCAAGTCGGCCGACCGGACCCAACATGAACGATACTATGCAGATTCACTCCACTTTCTCCGTACTAGTCTTTCTCCTTCACCACCACCCCGTATTCCCACCATAGCTATGTCTACTCAAGAAGCACGACTCCTGTTCTTGGCTGATATCGCCTATACTACCCACCACCCTGCTGTCGAATACCTCCTCTCGCCACCTCATCAAAGGGACCCATTACGCATATCGCCTCTGATCTCCTCTCTCGACGAGTTCCTACATTTCCTTACCCTCCACGTCTACAGCAAGATCTCCAAACAGCTCTACGCACACTATTATCAGACTACCTCACACCTTCGAGAACAGCTGATCTCGGTCGAGACTTCCCTGGCTGCGCGAACGTCTCGAGCTTCCCAACCGACAGGCGGCCGACCTGTCGGTGGTCGTTCGCATGCAACCCCTATCGATCCTGTCAACCTTGAGCAGATGGTACGCCTCAGATTTACGGACAAGCAGCTCGGCTTGATGTTCGACTGTCATTCCTCGACTATCAAGCGTCGGCGTCGCACTCTTGGACTCATGAAGCAGGAACCCAAGCACCGATTGTCTCGGGCAGAGGTGGAGCAAGCTATTCTACAAGCGATTGGGGGCCAGGACGAGACTACGGTAGGAGCAGTGACTGTTTGGGGCCAGCTCAAAGCCTGGGGTCTCTCGGTAACACGAGCCGAGGTAAGGAGCACCTTGCAGCAGTTGGAGCCAGCAAATCTTGCCAGTCGTACCACGCATACAGTACAACGACGAAGGTACCACGTACCGTTTGTGAACTCAGTCTGGCACATCGATGGTCAGCACAAGCTTATCAACTGGAAGTTTGTGATACACGGTGCCATCGATGGCAAGTCACACCTTATTACCTGGCTTCATGCTAGTCCGAACAACTTTGCCGAAACGGTTGAAGGGCTGTTTCTGGAAGCCGTAGATCAGTGGGGCTGGCCTAGCCGTATTCGAGCGGACTACGGGGGAGAGAATCTTGGGGTGAAAGCGCATATGGAGAGGGTACAAGGTACGTTTTGTGCATGCCACTTGATACCAGACTTCACTGAGCCTAACTTATCGCCGACTGTCGGCCGACAGGTCGTACAAGAGGTTCATTCATGCAGGGTCGCTCTGTACACAATGTACGCATCGAACGCCTCTGGAGGGATGTCGGCCTGAAGGTGACCAGGAAGTACGCACGCACCTTCGAGCTCTTGGAGAAGTCAGGCGTCCTTGACCGCAACGACCCAATACATCTATTCTGCCTCCACTACGTCTATCTTCCACAAATCAACTACTCTCTCGATCTATTCCGAGATAGTTGGAATTACCACGGGATGAGCTCAAAGGGACTGGGCGGTGCTAGTCCTATTCAGCAATGGGTGGGAGGTATGTTTCTATCTCCCTGCGACGAACCTCCGAAACTTATTAATCAAACAGTACTGATTTGATAAATTTAAATGTATTTCGTCCCGAGCAGGCCTACTAGACGCGAAAGCGGCCGGCTTTCACATCGAGCTGTCACCGGATCTACGTTACAATGAGGACGAGGACGAAGCATTCGCTCTAGGGGTAGAGGACGATGTTGTCGAGCTACCACCTCGACCGGAACATTTGCAGCGCGACCAAAATACCCATTGCCGTTCATCAGCAATCGACGCCTCCCTATTCCTGGACGACACTCCTGTGGTCGAGCAAAGACGTCAGCCTCACTACAAAGACCCTCACGTTGTGGTCCCGCAGTTTGGGCGGCACGTTCCTCAACAACTGTTCGACAGGGAATTTCAAGACGAACTCCAAGCCAAATTCCCGTTTGTCGCGCCAATTCTCGGGGAATTTGGCGAAGAACGTTACATAGCGGTGCTAGACTTCGTAGAGACCTTCTTACAACTGCTCACCGAACCTGCTACCGTGTGAAAACCATACATGGCCCTGCAATGAATAGGTATTTTCGAGTTTGATGATGTCATTGATGACGATAACGCGTTGTTTGTTGTTGTGTTTCACGTTTCAGGTTGATCGCTTAGGCAAACTAGGTTCTCAAAGGACCCTTTCGTTGCTGTTGTTCTGTTCCTGTCGCTTACATCAAAGAACAACAAAGAGAGAAAAAAACTGCTGACGTTCTAGTCGATTCCCTTATAGGTAAATACCCCTGCCGTCGCTTTCAAAACTCCGACGCCTTCAACTCCCCGTATTGCCCACCTATACGAACCTACTACCCTTCATACAATCCTGAAAGTTCTCCAAGAATCGCCATGTCAGACAAGGAAAACGAGCTTCCGAGCAACAGCGCTCGAGGGGAGGGGAGTTCGAGAAGGGCGGGTCGGCCGACTGGCGGTCGTGAGTCGGCCTTGGGTCGTGAGTGCAAATTTGACATCCTTTGAGCTGTTCTGGTTCGTTTTTGGGTGTGACATCAAGCTTCTACACATCGAGGAAGTCGGGTGATGATGCGTAGGGGTGTAGGACGTCCTGCTACGGCGGCAGAGTCATCTCCCGAGCGAATAAGAGGAAGAGGAAGAGGTAGCGGAGGTCGGGGTGAAAGAGGAAGTAGAGGGACTCGTGGGAGGGGTCGAGGTCGACGTGGAGGCGTCCCCCATCGATACGCCAACCTGGATCCCGAGCAGTTCGGTAGCGATGATGATCCTGATCTCCTACAAATCGACGTAGAATCTGAGGATGGATATGGACGGTCTCCTACCTTTCGGAGACAGATGTTTGGGTCGGTCTCTCCCATACGGAGAGAACCTAGCGAGGAAGTCGATGAGGGACGTGCTCGAGCGGGCCAGGAGATCGCGGCTGCTGTGGCCGATGGGCAGATCAGTGACGAGGAAGCTGGTCTGATGAGCTTAGCGACTCGGGCGCTCTCGATCGGGACGAGTTCGGCGGGTGTGTTTGGTTCTGTTTATTCGCTGTTGTATATGTCACTGATTCAAATGATTGTGTCATTGCTTCTTTGCTATATAAAGAGTAACGGGCAAGAACAGGCGGAGCCCGTTGTCGAAAGGGACCCCGAAGATGTAGGGATGGAGGGTCCTCAACAGGACATCGAACAGGACGTCGATGTGCCGATGGAGGAGGAGGTTGTTCTGGCCGTCAGGACGCCAACGCCAGGCGGGGTGGGGCATGATGATGGAGGGGTGATGGACGAGATGGAGTTGGCTGGGGACGATGGTATGTTCATGTTTCACTTGCTTGCGCTTGTTCATTCCGGCTCGTTTTACTAATGAATAGGATGATTGTGTCACGTAGCCGTAAGCGAGGCGGAAGAGGTGGCGGCCCCGGCCATCTCGCCGGAAAGGAAGGCTGCGTGGCAGAAGAAGTTCGCGGAGCTTCAGGGTTCCCAGCGCCCTCGCTCTCGGTCTCCCGAGAGTCCTTCCCCCTCCGGCACCCGGCCGATCGCCCCTCTTGGGTCGGCGACATCTCCTCGAGCCAGACGTGGAGCTCGACAAGGGTCGGACGATCCCGACCAACGGGAGGAAGGGCAGATTTGGGCGGGGTATCCGGAGACCCGGTCCCAGAGACGACGGGCGAGAATGGAGGAGGAGGATGAGCTTGAGTCGGTTCAAGGGTGTAAGTTAGGACTCATCACATGGCTTTCACCGTTCATGTTGCTTATGATTCCTATTTATTCCTCTATCTACCTAGCTTCGGATCGGGCGAGGCCAACGCCGACGAAGAGGATCAGGAGGGTCCCCGCCCGGAACCCTCTCAGCCCTACCAAGCAGGGCACCCGGGCTGGCCCCGACAACAACACCCAGGCTGGTCCTGGATCTCAAACTCGCGCCAACCGCGCTGCCACCTCGGCCGCCTCGTCCCCGGCCAAGTCTCCTCGCAGGAAGCCCAAGCCTGCCACCTCGTCCCCTGCCGCGACGCCCACCAAGGGTAAAGGTAGGGCGACATCCACCAAGGGTGGTAGGGGCCAGGCCAAGGCTGAGATCAAGCCCGAGGTCAAGCAGGAGCCGAGTGCGGGGACGCTCCTCAACCACGCGGTAAGTGACCGATCCTCCCCGACTGGTCGGTCAAGAGTCGGTGGAGCTGATCTTTGTTGTATGACTTCTCTCAGAAGGCGAAACGGCGCCAAGAAGATCCCGGTGCGGTCGAGTTTCTCGGAGACGAGAGGTGCGACACCTGTCGTAGCCTCGGAGCCTCGAAGGGTGGGGACGAACCGTGGTGGGGTTGCTGGAGAAACCCGAACTCCAAGAAGGAGCGCTCCTGCTCCCACTGCGTGGCGGTTCGTGCGAAGTGCTCGTTCAACGACGAGCCCAGGCACGTCAACCCGCCCGCGGCAGGTCCCAGTACAACTGGGCTGAGCCAGGAGTGGGTGAACGGTTTGGCTGCCCGGCTCGACCGAGCGATCGGAGGGATGGAGGTGGGTCTCGGAGTCCTGAACTCGATGGCCGCCACTGCTCTTGGAGAGCCGGCCAACAACATGTTGGCCGAGCGGATTCAGGAGTTTTCGGCCGTGAGCGCGGACCTCCGCCGTGGTCCCTCTGGGTCGACCGCTGCCGCCGCCATCGAGGTTGAGGCCGACGACGAGGACGACGAGGACGAGGAGGAGGAGGAGGAGGAGGAGGAGGGGGAGGACGAACAGTAGGACCTTGAAGGTCTACGCCTCCGGTTCTTGTTCTTATAGGATAGGTTGTATTCTACCCCGAGAGGGTTTAAGACTCAGATTCTTTCTATTTATTTCATTTTAGATCAAGGATCCTTCGAAAGATATTCATCATCGTCAGCGAGACCCTCGTAGGGGTGGTGGGGGTCCGCTACCATAGTAACGAACGCTCCTGGGGTGGGTGGATGATTGACCCGACCACCGAATGGTGGCAATCGCCGAGAACTTGGAAGGTCGCCAAGAGGGCACGATCGACATCGACATCGACGAGCAAGAAGCATTGCGGGTCGAAGCCGTCGGTGTAGTTTGGCGGCGGTCGTTGAGGGAGTGAACTGCGGGGTGGGTGGAACGGACTCGACTCAGACGACGGGCGTTGGTGAAGACGGCACGAAAGAACCTTCGGTGTCAAGTCCTGGACATCAACAAGAGGTACTTCTTCACATTCACCATATCCCCTAAATCCTCTGTTCGCTCGTTCGACCAGGGCGCATTCTACCTCAGGGCAACACCGACGGCAACACCAACGGTTTCGCGAGCCTGCACCCCAATGTCACCGACCATTGTCTTTCGCTCGGAACCCCTCGCCCAAATCCCCGGCTTACAAGGGCAGTACTTCTTCCAGGGTTCGCCTAATCTCTCATCATCTGTTCTGCATACCCACTTGCGCACGCTCAAGCACATAAACCGATTGCGATTGGTCACGGACACCTATCTGACTGCCGCTTGGACATGATCGGCGCACCGACCCAACGTGACCAAGCGCTACGACACTGAAGAACAAGCACATGGTCGGCCAAGACGTTCCCCTGCGCTGCAGGACGATGAACTTTGCATGGGACGATCAAGGGGCAACTATACAGGCGGCAACGTATGAGTACAACATCCTCGAACGACCCTCAACGTTCGACAACATCCTCGAACGACCCTCAACGTTCGACAACATCCTCGAACGACCCTCAACGTTCGACAACATCCTCGAACGACCCTCAACGTTCGACAACACCCTCGAACGACTCCCTTCCGTTCCCATGTCGACATCAGCATACACACTGAACGTCCGACAACATCCCAGAACTACCCGCCCATGTCGACATCGGCATACACCCTCAACGCCCGACAGCATCCTCGGACCACCCTCACCCTCAACGCCCTAACCCAACGCCCGACAGCATCCTCGAACGACCCTCTTCTCCAGCACGATTCCCTCTCCCCCTCTCAGACGGTCCACTCCGACCCCTACGAATGTTGTTCTGTGAGAAGGAAAGCCCGATTCAGCTCTCCCATGGGTTTCACCGACCCTCGGCCGACTGGCGGGCAAACTGGGGGGGTAGACTCACTATCGCAGCTGCACCTTGGGCGGTAACACCGATTGCCAGTGTCACGGCGCTCACGCCTGTTCGCCAATGTGGCAGGCTCAGTGGCAGGCTCAGGACGAGGGCGACCCTCCTGAGGTCTGGGCGATCGTCGTCGGCGATAGCCTCGTCCCCTTGCAGGGAGAGAGGGAGGAGGAGGTTGATCGACCGAAGGCTCAACTGCAGGCCTGACTGGAGGCGGCAACGGAGGAACCGGACCACTGCGGTCTGAGTACGCAGCTGGACGTTCTTCCTGCGGGGGAGGAACGCCCGGGCCAGAGACAGGCTCGACTTGGTGCGGGATCTCCCTCGGAGGCGTCATCCCGGCTTCTGCTGCAAGACCGAATCCCTCGGGAGGCCCTGCTTGCATAAGGACTTCCCCAATACGGACCTCTCTTGCATAGGGCGGTACAGGATCATTGACATCTCCTTCTGGGTTGTCCAGATTGCCCGACCGGAACCGATTACGGATGTGACGTGAAGCCAGCAGAGGATCACCCTGCTGGATGGCCGATAACGCCCTAGCGCGACTTCCCTCATCAAGACCTTGCAACAGTGCTTGCATATCTCTCAGGGTGGCTTCTATGGCACGTCGTCTACCCCCCAGAGGTTGTGGTCGGGCGGGATTTGCCGCTATCGGCCGACCTGTCTCTCCCGCGTATTGGATTTCGGGAGTCACGGAACGTTCTTGAGGTTGCGCAATTGTCCTGCCAGAGGCGTTCTGAATACTCCTCTGCGCAGGGGTGGCGGGTCCGGGAGAAGGACTATCCCTGACAGTCCGTTGGCTCTCCTCAATCGGACTTGGCAAACGATCTGGACGGCTATGTTCGGTTCGAGCGACCTCACCGACGACCTCACCGACCGGTCGGTCATCTGGTCGGTCTCTTGCGCTTTGGACAGCCTGCCTGTCCTCGGGGGTGTGAGCTCGAGGCTGGCTACCTCTGGGCGGCTCATCCTGGGACAGGTTGATCAAACCTAAGACGTCAGCGTCGATCGACCGCTCTCGTTCGAGAGATGCCTGACGTCCGTCAAGGTCGAATCCACTCCAACCTTCGTCAGCTTGATCATTCCATCGGTTCTGCCGCACTGCGGCGAGATCCTCTTGTAGGGGACCGGCTAGATCCTCCATGCTAGGAGTCTGGAGTGTAGCTGTAGACGCCAGGGGAGATGGAGCTGGTGTAGCCTGGTCAGTGAAGAACAGTGGCTCAGCGCGATCAACGAAACCGGCAGTCTCGAGGGACATGTCCGCCATCCCTGAAGTTCGACCAGTGCTGCTGGATGTAGAGGGACCCGATTGATGAGCCCTGGGGACCGGCATAGCATCTGGAAAGGCATCGACAAGACGAGGGGTCGGTACCAGCCGGGGAGTGGATGCTTCAGTGAAAACGGACGGTGTTGGTGATTCTCGACCGTCTCGACCGTTCCGTTCAGTGCGGTAAATCTTGTAACGTTGACAGTGACCCGTATGACGACGTTTGGAGATCATCTTGACAGACTTGCCACAGGCGATGCAGGTCCACATATCGTCATCATCCTCAACGTCTTCGTCCTCATCGTCCTTGCCCGATGCAGTGTTTTGGAGGTTTCGGATGGTCGTGTAGAACTGCCGGGAGGCTACTTCCTCCTGGTGGGTATAGTCCGGGGCGGTGTAGGTGAAATCTCGATCGTTGACATGTCCATCGACGATGTAGGCGCAGCCAGAACGTTCAAACAGGGCCTTTACCTGGTTGAACGAGCTCGACGATGGTCGGCATGTGGCAGGCTCGAACCGATGGCTGTGAGGATTGGTCTTGGCCCAACACCACTGTTCATTGATACCCTCACGCCGGAAGAGCTCCTGAACCGTTGCGGCGATAGCGGAGGCATGTGCGTTTGCAGATATCCAGAGAGGTTTCCCAAAACCCTCAGCAGCCAACCACTCCTTGACCGCCTCTGCACCCTTGCGAAGTGTCAGCCGGTCCGAAATAACAGCCGAGGATTTGAGGTAGTACACCTAGATGCAAAGATCGGTCAGTCGATTTGGAAAGGGAAAGTCAAGTTGACCGACAGTCGGCCGACTCCGGCCGACTCAGGTAACACTGACAATTGTCTCCTTCTCTTTGCAAATTGAGACGGGAGGACCAGGTGTAATCTGTGTTTGGCGGGCCGGAGCTTTCCCTTTGCGGCCACTGGTGAGATAGGAAGCGAAAGGAGAGCCTGGTCGGATGTTCTGGGACGAAGACGAAGCGGAGGAGGGGTTGATTGAATTAAAGTTCTGGATGGTGTTTCGACTAATTCCTGGGGGGGTATGCCCTGGCATGTTGCGGAGCGTTTGCAGAGCAGAAATGGTGCTATGTTGGGGTAGCTGACCATAGCTATGCGGGCTGTGGGTAATGGAAGGAGCGGGAGGAAATCGATTATGAAAAGGACCTGTATTATCATTATTTGCGGTATTATGGGTCGTGCCGGGTATCATGGGGCTATACGACCCTTGGCCTGGTGTAGATGGTAGCTGAGGCGGTCCAGCTTGTCGTAAAGCTGTCTGTACAGCCTGCTGTATAGCAGCGGCCAGGTCGGCCTGACTTATGGTGATTTGTTGGTGTGAATCGTTGTGCTGAGGCATGGTAAGGGGGAGCGAATAGAATAGGTACTGAATGGCAGAGTACGTGTGAAGAATCTAGATGTGACTATTGATATGTAACAAGGTCATGAACTGGAGTTGGCCGATGGAACGGCCAAAACGATTGACCCTACATGTCGAGAGGTAGATTGTTGGCTGCTGGATGTAGCGTACGTAAAGTTCGATGAAGACGATGTAGAGTAAAGGATTAAACGATGTCGAGCTTGATACTAAACGTTGTCGAGTAAACGAATAAACGTTGTGGGTTAAACGTTGCTGACTAAACGATTACGAGATTTACTAAGTCACGTGTAAAGTGGTCTTTTTGGCGCCTCATAGTCTGCGGTGTCTGCTGAGCCGGGTTCTTTACTTTGTCATCTTGACCCCCTCGCGCAATGCGGCGTCTCATCACATAGACCCTCATGCTCGGTATCAGATTAAGGTCGAAAGCAGCTTGAAGGATTGGAGGACCGCCGCATTGCTTTTCGTCTATATACTTGACCATGAAACAGAGGTTGAACGATATGCGCCTCTCATCCTTGGACGCCTGCCGGGGAACAAAAGACCGGAGGATTGTTCGGCCGATTTGCAACCTGAAACACGAAACAGACGCGCGCGGGCAGGGATCCGCTGTGGCTCTTGCCTCGTCGACGACAAGTCCATGCTCAACCCTCGAAGGGCCAGGAGGGGGTTTTGAATCTTTTGATCATTCCATCGACCTCGATCATTCGATCTTGTGCGGATTCCTCGACAAGGAGCTGTAACGTTCAATTCGACTTATCCAAGTCTACCAAGTTCACGAAATTATAAAGTTAGACCGCTTTCGGATCTCACGGTTGGGTGAACTCGAACATGCCGTCTCCCACCATACCTCTTGTCGAATCGGCACCCATGGAAGAAGATCAATCGGTCGACGAGTCGTTGCTGAATGCAAAGGATGGTGAGTCTCATATGTTTTTCGTCGACCATGCCTGATCTGTAACTTAAACTCGCTTATGTGTTTCGTCTTTTCCAGCTACTGAAGTCACAAAAGTCCTCATTACGGCTTTCCTCCAGAAGCGAGTCTATCAACGGCTGGGGGAACAAGCCTTGATCTCGATCAATCCGGGAACCATCAACCAAGGCGAACACGACCCTCCCTCGGATACGTCGATAATGTGAGTAGTACCAGCTTGTTCTTCAATCTCTTCCTTATGGAAAGAAATATAGAACTTATCGAAGCTGGTTTTGCGTTCGGCTGGTAGGGAGACGACTCTATCCAAATTCTTCAGGATGTTCTCCTTCGACCCACAGGATTCGACCAACAGAGCCCGACGTAACCAGACCATCATCGCTCTGGGAGAATCCGGTTCAGGGAAGAGCACGCTACTGAGGAAGACCATCAACCAGATGTTCGTGACCAAGAATCTCTTGCAAGACACCCTCGTCGAGCGTTTGGACCAGCGGATGAAGTTGGCGGAGATCTTGGGGAATGCGAAGACGAGTAATAACGACGATTCCAGTAGGATGGGCAAACTCATCGAGGTGAGTAGTACAGTAGTTTTCGGTCCGCCTTTTCTTCTATTATAAACCCCGCTGACTTCCGTTGGATGCTCGCTTTGTAGATCTTTCAAGGAGCAAAGGGACTCGACTTTATCCTACGCCCGCTGATGTTGGAGGAAGGTCGTCTTCGCTATCTTCGGCCTACGAAAAAGCAGCCCGCATCTCAAAGTTCTAGCGATTCGAAGGAGCAGGATGCTAAGCAAGAACCTCCTGCACCGGAGAGGAGCTTTCATATATTTTCTCATCTCGCTACGAAGGGTCATCCGGTCTTCGACGAGTTCCCCGAACTGCTCGATAACGTCGAAGCGGATCAGGACCCCGAGACCTGGCGCTGGATGGAAGCTACCATCAAGTCTTTGGGAATGAACGTCGACGTCGTTTGGAATCTGGTTGCGGCAACCTGGCTGTTGGCTGTCGCTGAAGAGCTCTCTTCGCCGCAAATCGCTCTCGCTCGTACATACCTGCAGATGGACCCGGAGTTCAACCTCACGAAGAGCCTCACTCAACTCGCGAGAGAGATGAACGTCGATGAAAGAGAGGCCATTTTCGTCTTCTCCAAATGCGTCTACCGGGGATTGTTCGGGTTGTTGGTACCGTTACATCAACCCGACCGACCCGAGGGAACGCTGGGGCCGTCTTTGTTCTTCGTCGATATCTGCGGAGCCGAGGTGCTCAGGGAAAATCGATTGCAACAACTCTTGATCAACGACTGCAACGACAAGATGGATGCCGAGTATAAACGCCTGGCTATTAGCCACCTTCCCGGCATCAAGAAACATCAGCGCGTACCCACCTACAGCGGTGTATCCCTTACGTCCGAGACTCCAAAAGAAACCCTTTTGAGGGATATAATGGCGTGTTCTTCGAACAAGAACATGTCGAGCGCGCTCGAAAAGTACAAGGGTAGGACGAAAGGCTCCAACGTGACGTACAACCCCAAAGAGCTCCAGGCCAAAAACGGTCTCAAAGTCGTCCATGCGAATGGCCAGGTTCCGTACCTCTGGTCGTCGTTCTTGGGCGACAAGATCGACGCGCCTGGCAAGGATCGTATCGGCGCCTGTAAGGCGTTTCAGGCGGTTTTTGTCAGCGAAAGCCGAGCGGCAGAGTCATCGAATCTGTCCAACGAGAATCGAGGGAAACAGCCTTCACAAGCGCCAGTTCGATCGCACCGAGACGTCGTGGGCAACTATCAACGCGACTGGACGAAGTTGAAAGCAACCTTGTCTAGCAAACAAGTGCTCTTCCTCCGCTGCATCAAAGCTCATTCTAAGCTCGAACCTTGGGCACCGGAGAAGGACTTGGTGCAGCGCCAAGTAGAGAGCCTCGGAGTCGCTCAGATTCTCGATTTTCTGCGCGACCTTCCCGGACGCTGCAGCGACACTGTCGACGTTTTCGAGCGCAAGTTCGGGTCGCTGGCGATCGACGGTCCAGGCCGAGTAGGAAAGCTATCCGACATCTCGAAACTCAAGGTCGGCGAACGTCTCGCCTCGGAGTTGATCAGGGAACACAATGGCATCGTGTACTATTCTGCCAACCTTCGAAACACGTTTCGAGATCTGCTCGCTGCTCGTGAGGCGGCGGCGATCGAGGCGCAGCGCAAACGGACCGCTGAGCTAGAGAAGCAGCGCAAATTGGAAGCTGAACGGGCGGAACAGGCTGACAAACTAGAAGCTCAGCGCAAGTTAGAAGCTGAACGTGGGAAACAGGCTGCCCAATTAGAAGCTCAGCGCAAGTTGGAAATCGAACGGGAGAAACAGGCTGAAGCGCGACGCCACGAGGAGCGGGTCGCCGCAGAGCCCACAGCGATTACCGATTCGAGCGCCGTTTCGAGGGTCTCCGTTGCTGCATCCTCAACCGTTGTCGATGAGCTTCAACCGGAACCTACCCCATCCCGCGGTGACAAACAGGCAGCGCTTACGCCTGCGCCTGCTCGAATGCTTTCGACCCGAAACGCCGCCGAAGCAGGGCTCAAAGGTATCTTGGGTTCCATCCTGGAAGACTGGAGCCGAAACTCCGACGTCAAGACACGTTGGCACCACGAAGAGCGTTTCCAATGCACGATCTTGGTCGAGATCGAAAAGAAAATGTATAGCTCGGGCGTCGACGCTGGCAAAAAGCACGCCCTTGAATTCCACGACTATCTCCTCAATGCGACTCGGCAATGCCGGAGGACAAAAACTGGGTCGCGCAAACAAATCGATAGCTCCCCGGAACTCGAAGTCGTGGTGGATCGGGTCTTTGCATTCTTGGAGGCTCAATATACCATACTCGCGCTGTCGACACTTTGCGAAGGGGCCACAGAGCTTCGAGCCCGGTCCTTTGGTATCGAAATGTCACCCGAAGTCTGCGAAGCGCTTGTTTCGTCAAACGTGTGGAGGCTACTCGTACTAGCGGCCCAAGATTCACGACCCGACCTGTTTTCATGAAGTTTGACAAAGCGACTAGCCGAGGCGAGGGTACGAGAAACTTGTAATCGCGAACGCATGTCAAACAGTATCTGTCCATTCGTACCTCTGCAGATCAGTGCAGTAGTTTGAATTGAAGGCTTGAACCAGCGACCAGCCGAGGCGAGGGTCTGAAAATCGTGTAGGAGCGAAAGCATGTCAAACATAATATCTATCCATTCGTATATCTGCATATTACAATATCAAACGAAACCATCAAGCCGTTTTCACAACCACCTTTTCTCAACCCAAGCGCGACGCCTCGATCTGCTCATCATCCTCAAACTCGGGATCCATCTTGTCCCTCCAGACGAGCATATCCTCCAAAAACTGATGATGCGCAGCGAGCTGCCTCGAACTCTCACCCGCCCTCCTGTGCAACATTTCCATAGCCTCCCGGTAAGCCCCATCGGACCGTCCCCATCGAAGGTTCAACTCTTGGATCAAAGCGCGTTGGGCGACGAGTTCCTGGCCGAGAGCGTCGATAAGAATTCCATCGCCTGAGATCCGGCCGAGGAGATGGTGGACGAGACGGGTGAGCTCGGCGACTTCGTTTGACGAGGCGGGAATGGAGGTGGATGTAGATGAGGACGAGGTAGGCGGGATTGTGATTGCCCGCGGGGTCAAGGTCGTGTCCGAGATGGTCTGGTCTTGCTCCATCGAGTTCTCGCCGGGATTGTAAGCGGCTCTCCCGGCAGACCTGTTGGTAGCTCCGCTAGCGAGTGTACCAGATCTGGTGATCCTGGAAGAGGTCGAAGAGTTCGACACTTGTCTGCTTGTTGGTAGATCAGGGTATAGCGAGGTAGACCCAAATTGAGATTGAATGAAGACAAGGAAAGGATACGGGATATCTTCGGATCAGCTTTCAATATTCCTACGTATTTTGCAAGATCGACAAGCTCTCTCTCCCTGAAGTCCGCTCTACAGCCTCTGCCTCTTCATTTCCCTTTTGCTTCACTCTTTTCTCTTCTTCTCTCCGCCAACTCCACCCCACACAAGATCTTCGATCTCCCCCATCCCGCATCCCAACCTTCCGTCCGCTCGATCACCCTCCCAATCTCAACCCAACCCAAAGCGAACCCAACCGACTACTACGCCTGATCAAACACACCACCGAACATCACACCATACAATACCCCTTAAGAAGCGAAACGATACCTAGACACCCTGACTTCCGACTCGCGAACTCCCGAACTCACCTGGCTGTTTGCCCCCGACCTGTGTTCGTGTTCATGTTTCTCTCTCGCTCTCCATCTCCCGAGTCGGCTCTACTACTAGTAGTTCTCAGCCCCGACCCTGCACCCGAATCCGATCCTGCCCTTGAATCCGAACGAGAACCCGTCCTCAACCCCAACCTCGACCCTGGCACTGGCCCCAACTCTGGCCTTGGGCGAGCTTGCCCTATCGCAGCCGCACCCATACCAGCACTCGCACCTGCAGCGGAAACCCCAGCACCAGTACCCCCACCAACACCCCTACGCGGTCCCAACCCAGCCGATCCCAACCCAGCCGATCCCAACCCAGCCGATCCCAACCCAGCCGATCCCAACCCAGCCGATCCTGATCCCAACCCAACCGATCCTGATCCGACCGAGTGGTAAGGCTGAGATTGGGGTGCGAAAGCGAACCGTCGAGCTACTTGTTGGATGTATAGTTGGGTGGATTGACCCGGATCGGCGTCTGGGTCCGCTTCGAAGTCCGCTTCGAAGTCTGCGTTTGGGCCGGGGGATGGGGATGGGGATGGGGATGGGGAGGGTTCGATTTGGGGAGGTTGGGATTGAAGAGATCTTTGAAGAGGTTGGGATTGAGATTGAGAGCGATGGTGATGGTGATGGTGATTTTGGTGTTGGGGTTGAGGTCGAGTTCGAGGTTGAGGTCGGGTGCGAGCTTGAGGTTCGGGTTGAGGTTGAGGAACGGTCGAAGGATCCGGCCTCCGAGCGTCTACTATCGTCGAGCGAGCGACACCAAGAAAAGTAGGCGGTGTAAACGTAGAAAAAGATCGGAGCAAGGGTGAAATGAATATAGGGTAGAGGAGAGTTCATTCGAAGAATCAATCAGTTTTCTCTAGCTGATAGTAGTTAGAACTGAGAGACGGTCAAACAAGGCAAACTCACCGGACCTCGTCGTTCCCGTACCTCCCGCTCCCGCTCCTCTGGAACCCTGGGTCTGGTTCGACGTTTGACTTCTGAGCGGACGAGGACGAGGTGGGTTCATTGTATGGTGTTTGTTGTCGTCTGTGGGTTTTCCGAAGAGTGTGGCAATCTATTGTCGATAGCCCGGGAATCGAGGTAAGATACCAGGTGAAGGTAGGTAGCGTGGAAAAGAGGAGCAGTGGGAATGTGAAAGTGGAAATCGCGATTGAGTATATGTGACAAGTGACAAGTGATGCCCGTAATGTAAGCTTTTGCTGGGTTCGCTGCGATTGGCCCACGACGACGTCGACGACGCTTCCCAAATCAAATTCGACAAGCAAGTTCGATCGTTCGGCGTTATCGCAAGAGGGCCCAGAGGGGCCAAGGAGGACCAAGAGGGACCTCCTTCTTTCGATCCCAAAGGGGAAGACAAAAAGAAGAAGAGCGGCGTTCCATCATCATGCGAGCGATCAATCACTTTCTGAAACGCGCGCGAGCGAAGGCAGGACGAGGGCCGGGGCTAGGGGTGAGACTTTACGCGCAATCACGGGGTTGCTTCCATGGGACAGCGAGCAGAAGGAAGGAGAGGGGGGGGGTAATGTGTTTCGTTTCATCGAAAAGATTGATCGATTGATCGATTGGGAGTTTCAATCGATTCGCAACAGGCCAGCATGCAGGAGAGAGGAAGGGGGGGTAGGAGATGGAGGGGAGTGATTTCAAATCCCTTCCCCTCCGTCGCCTGCCGAACCTGCCACCTCAACAACGAGATGCACGTCATCGACGAAAAATTCCCTCTCTTCTGATCCCTGATCGAGGAGGGTGGTCGACCTTATCTACTCGCTACTCGCCATATACGACCACCTTACTACCCCGTACGAAGTACGAACCTACCTTCGGCCTTTCATTCTCTGGAGATAGCGACATCGTTTTAACTTGACTTCTGGACCGCTGCTACCACCACCTCCACCACCACCACCACTATTCCTAACCATCTACTCTTCCGTGCACCCTTTACCTCACCTCGGATCATCCACCCAAATATCCTGGAGAACGACGATGATGTCCTCTTCCCCCATCTTTCCGAAAGTTCAACCTCAATTCGAACCTCCTACAACTACAACTACAACTACAACTTCCCCCTCTTACTCTCCCTCACCCGCTCCCACAACCTCTCTGCAGGACGAAAACAAAGGCCACCAAGAAAAAGAAGAAGAAGAAAAAATGTCGGACGGAAGACCTGGTTCACCCTCACCTTCACCTTCTACCTCACCTTCGCCTTCAATCTCGCCTTCTGATGAGGGCTCGGAGTCGGATATGAGCCTGAGCACCATCCAAGAGGCCGACCACGATCACGACCACGACCACGATCACGATCATCAACTTGATCACGGAGTTCCTCATCCGGGCATCACTACCACTACCGATACCACTATCGGAATCGTCGGTCATAAAGGCGATGGTGATCGTGATCTTAATCATGAACCTGAAGGCGATCGTGATCAAGGAGACGATCACCAAGGCTCAAAGGAAGAAGCCGACCTCCGAGTCCGAGCTAGAGCTAGAGTTGGAGTTGCAGAAGAGAAGAATGTGGTTGATCTCAGGGGTAACGATTATGGGAACGATTATGGGAACGATTATGGGAGCGAGAGGTGGAGCGAGAGGTGGGACGCGTTTGGAAGGGAAAGGGAGGGTCGGGGTCGGGTTGGGGAGGAAGGGTTGTCGGTGGTTGGTAGAGCTGGAGGCGGAGGTGAAGTTGGGGTTGGAGGTGGAGGTGGAGGTGGGGACGGAGGTGGGGTTGGGGACGGAGGTGGGGTTGGGGTTCGAGGGAAGAGGGATCAAGGCCAAGACCGAGAAGCCGTGCAGGTCCAGGTTGAGGACAAGGATGAGGGTGAGGTCGAGGGTGAGATTGAGGCCGGAAACGCCGGTGCAGGTGCAAGTGCAGGTGCAGGAGCGGGTACCGGTGAGGGTACGAGAAAGGGCAAGAGCAAGGCTCTGGGTCTGGGTACGGTTGGGGAGAAATTCGGGCAAAGGCGGGATGAAGAGGTCTTCGAAGGACAGCTGGGTGGGAATATGAAAGATGGAGATGGAGGTGAACGCAAGCAGGACGGGGAGATCGAGGTCGGGCTCGGAGATGGGGTCGTCCGGGACGGGTTCAAGGTTGGGGAAAAGCCAAAGACTTGGTCCAAGCACGACCTTGACGATAAAGAAAAACATGAGGAGGATGCTCACGACAATAACGACAACAACGATAACGATATCGAGAAGACCCCAACTCGGGGTTATACTCTTACCCCCGTTCATCCTTCGATTGACCCGGCGAACGCTCCAGCGCAAGCTCGTGTTGGACCTCCGCCTCAGACTCAGGCTCAACCTCCCGCCCATCCTGTCCCTATCGCTATCAGCACTTCAATTTCCAACTCGGGGCCCGATATTTCCTTCCACGTCGTCCCTCCTGCCCAAACTCAAACTCGGACCCAAACTCAGGCTCAAGAACTACCTCGGGCGATCGAGCCGAGGGTCACCCAGCCTACGCTTACGCCTACGCCTACTCCGGGGATCAAGACCACCTCCACGTCCACGTTCTCGGGTGATCCTGCCGATGATGATGGTAGTGGAAGGAGGAAAAGTGTTAGTGGCACGGATAGAGGTGGTCTTGGGGAAGGTCGATCCGGGTCAAAGGGAAGGGGGAAGAATAGTGTTGAACGTGAGTCGGCCTTGTCCTCTTGTACTTTTTTCCTATACCTTCCTCCAACCCGCTCCTTTTTTTTCCCCGGCGACTTCGGTTTCTTCCCCTCCTGCCTCTCGTACCGCACTTCTTCATAACTCCTGACCCCGCCCTCCCAGAACGGATCCGTTCCCGAACGTCGTTTCTGCTTAGCAAAGTTCGCTGATGTTGAACATGTGGTGCTCTTCCTCTTTTTTCCCTTTTCCTCATCCTTTCCGGCTCGTTCTATCGGCCCTCGGCGATCTTCATAGGCGACTCGCCTGGTAACCCGTTCATTCAGAGAGGAACTCCGACTTCAACTTCGGCTTCGACGTCGACGTCGACCTTGGGGAATACCAATATCAACTTCAACAAGGCCGGTCCTGGCACTGGTACTAGCGATAACACTAATGCCGCTACTAGCAATTCGGATTTCGGAAGAAAGTTGCAAGGGCTTTCGTCTTCCTCTATTCATAACAACATTATTGTGGCGGAGATCGACAAGGATAACAACCAGGACAACGACGATTCGGCTTTCCACGATACCTTGAATGGGAGACGAAGGTTTTCGACTCGGTCGGCTTCGGCAAGGGGAGAAGATAGTATCTTCGACGCACAACCGGGAGATGTATCGAAGATGGTCGATGATCATGGACATGGATATGGTGCCGAGCTTGAGGGTGACGAGTACGATCCAGCGTTCGAGTTTAGGACGAGTTGGGAGGTGAGTTTGTTTTAGCGGGAGTCGAACGTATTGCGGGTGAAAAGAGATCGTCACTGACATCTCTTTCTGTTTTCCACTTCTACTCTTCGCTCAAACCAGGTCCTGCGGAACAGCGTCTACTCCCTCGTCGAAGACGGCAAAATGTTTCACCTCCTCCCCACTCACCTCGCCTGCGACCGGTGCATCTCGGAATCCCTGATCGACAGGCCCAACTGCAAGATTGTCATCCCGAACGACCTCGACCCGGCCGTATTGCACGAGGCCATGTCATCGGCCAGCGCTCACCGGGAAGCTTGTACGGCTTGTCTATACGCCCACGTGTCTTGCTCGTTCCAGGCGGAAACCGAGGAGGAGAATGAGGTGGAAAAGGAGGAGGAGGAGGAGGAGGAAAGGGAACCCGAACCCGTCATGGATACCATGGCCGAGTTGACCCAGGGCACCCTATCGATGATGACCGACAACAACGACGCGGAAAGCACCTTTACCCACGCCTTTGAGGGCGTCTTTGAAAACTCGATCAGGCAGTACTACAACGATCCTCGTCGGGAGACTTACGAGACGTGCAAGGCGAACTTGAAACTCGTCGACGGGATGGCTAAAGGGCAGGCCGGGGAGGACGAGGTCTGGATTCAGAGGTACAGGCAGAGGTTGGGCAACTGCGTCAAGGATTGGAAGGCGAAAGACAGGGTCTCGGTGGTTTAGCGTGGAGTCAAGGTAATGGGTTACGAAAACTGTACAGTCTAGGCTTCATCTATCGAATCTATATCATTATGACGTTGCATTTCGTTCCGACAAGGCGATCGTACTGGTACACAAAAATGGGGTAGAGACCCGAGCTACTCGAAATACTACGAAAATCAAAGGCAAACCTGATCAAAGTCCCTCGCACGAAAAACGCCCTTCTTACATCTGCCCGGCCTGGAACCGAGCATCCAAGTAGGCGCACATCTTGCCGTACCAGGTTTGTCTTTCGACCTCCTCTGCCCAGCCTTGCTGTTTCAGTTTCGAAACCGCTCGTCGCAGGTCCTGGTGAGCGGTCAGGTCGTCCCTATCGCCGAGGCAGCTTTCGAAGAGGTCGCGGGTATGAGCGAGGTAATCCGATCGAAGGTCGTCCGCGGGCGATGAGCGTCGGGCGTAGGGATGACTTCGTTCGCTGCGTTGGTGTTGCTGACGTCGGACAGGTCCAGGCGAGTCGACCCGCCGAGACTTCTTGACCTTTTGACGTTGATGGCAGGGTCCGTAAGCGGAAGCGTGATTGAGGCTACATCCTCCCTTTTCCTTCGGTCGACTCCCCTTGCCACGTCCACGACACTCTCCACATCCTCCCTTGGCGTACGTGGGCACCGGGTCGCCTTGCCTCCAGTCGAGCGGGACCAAGACCCAGCATCCGATGTATTCGCCCACGCCCTTGGTCCAGCCTTGTTTGGCGGCCTTTTGGCATTCGGTGCAAGCGTCCTTGCCTTCGAGACGTATCCACCTGAGCTCCTTGTTGCCGAGGTACTTGTTGGCTTTCTGTCAGGGGAGAGGAGGTGCGATCGAAGTGAAGGTTATGGTGAAGGAAAGTGAAGGCGGCGGATTGAGTGCGATTGGAGATGGGCGTGAAAAGTCGACGGTGAGGGAGACCGAAGAATCGAATCAGGGGATTTGGGATGACATCCAGGTGAAGCGGTAAAAGAGAAAGACCGAAAAACGGACAACACGAAACAACTCGCAGTCAGCCCAACCGTAATCACGCCCATAAGAGAACAACACACGGACAAAGTAGACTCACCGCTTTCGTCGTCTTGCTGACATCCTGCCCCAACCTCGGCTCGACCGTATACTTGGGCGGGATTCGACCTCCCCGTCCGTCTTTCGGGTATAGCAGCCTTCCCCGTTCAAACACCCGGAGAGGAGCCGAGGACCGGAAATCGAATTCTTCTTCGGCATCATCATCGTCATCTTCGTCGATATCCATGTCGGATTTCTCCTCGTCTTCCTTTGCCATCTCATAGTCGTCGTCGTTATAGTCGTCGTTATCGGTATCGTTATCGGTATCACTCCCATCGAGCTGCATCCCATCGACCCTGCGCCTCTCGTACCCCCGTCCATGTTGTCCTCCTGCCCCGACGCTCCGGCCAGCCCCAACCCGAGGCTTTGTATTCGCCTTTGAAGGCTGAGGGGAAGAAGTATCCCCCGAGGCGATCCCTTGGGTGAACGAGCCGCTCATATCAAGGTCGAGGTCGAGGTTGAGGTTGAACGCGGGGACCGGAGGAAGACGAGCCGGAGCAGGTGCCGAGGATGAACGAGTAGATGGAAGTCGGGCTGTACCGGTGGTGGTGGTGGTGACTTTGTCCTTCCCCTTGTTGCTCCGTTCGAGGTTCTTCGTCTTTGCCTTTACCGGAGGTAGCGGGGCGAGCTCCAAAGGATCTCTATCATCGTCATCGCTTTTGTCTTCATCTTCATCGACTCCAGAAACATATTCCTCTCCCTCTCCCTCTTGCTGATCCTCCAGAAAGGTACCTTCGTCTTCATGCCCGCCGCCGCCTTCACCACCCGAACACCCATCCAAATGCGGCTCATACGTCCGACCCTCCTCCTCTAGCCCGGAATAAGTATACTCGTAATCCCCAGCCTGACCGGATCGGGTGAATGAGAATTCGTCGAGGCTGTCGGTGGAGGTGTCGTTGGCGTTGGCGCTGGCGGTTTGAGTTTGGTCATTTGGGTGGGTATCGTGGGTATGGTGAGTATCGTGGGTATGGTGATGGTGTAGAGATCGGGGTTGAGGTTGAGTTCGAGGTTGAGGTTGAGGGCGGAGAGCTTGAGACTGAGCCTGAGGCTGGAGTCGGGACGAAACCAACCCGACCCGGGCCTCATCCCGGCTATCGTCAACATCGACAACGACTCGCTCTCGGGCTTGAGCTCGGGCTTGACCTTGTTGAGGATATCCAACTCCATGTCCATCGCCTTTAGTTTGAGATTTAGATTTCGATTGAGATTTAGGGTTGGTGGGATTATGACGAAATTGAAGTTGAGGTTGAGGGTGAGGTCCGTCTACGAGAAAGACAAATCAAGTCCGGCGGGTCCGGCCGGTCGACCGACGTAAGAAGTAGAAAGAGAAAAGAGAAAGAGAGAAGAGAATGGGATGGGATCAGCTTTCCGTTCCTCCACTTTTTCGAGATCAACGTGACATCACACCGAGATTGGAATGAGGATTGGGATCGGGATCGAGATTCGAAGGACCACGCCGAAGTCGAAGAACCAGGTCGAAGTCGAAGTCGAAGTCGAAGTCGAAGAACCAGGTCGAAGTCGAACCGAGGTCGTTGAACACTCCGAAGTCAAAGAAACGAAGTAGCAGTCGAAGTACTCTAGAAACAGTCCCAATCGTAATCGTAGAAAAGAAGACCCAAGAACCGATAAAGGTCCCGAACCAAAACCAAACCGAAACCAAAGCGAAAGGAAAGGATAAGAGAGAAAGTCGTAAAACGAAGAGGTGTTTTTTTCATGGAGAACCCGGAGGGGAACCAAATGAAGGGGTAAGAAAAGGGGAGAGGGTGATACGGATACGCCAAAGACTGAGGACCGTAGGCCCCAAGGACCAACACCCAAGACCCAAGACCGAAGCTCAAAAAAGGACTTACTATCATTATCCCCATGACCGTTATGACCGTGATCGTGATCGTGATCGTGGTTCAATCCGTATTTCCGTTCCGCCAACCCCAGCCCCTGTCCTCTTCCTTCACCTTGACCTCGGGTTTGTCCTTGACCGTGTGCTTGAGCTTGAGCTTGTCCCCGACTCTGAGCTTGAGCTTGAGCTTGAATTTGACCGTGTGCATGAGCTTGTGCTTGATACTGATGTTGGAGGCCTTGAGCGAGAGCGGCTAGTCCGTTCTTAGGCCGAGTAGGCCAGGTGGAATGAGTGGGCTGGGTGGGATGAGTAAGGTGGGTGGGGGGATTGGCGGGGATGATGGGGTTGGTGGGGTTGATGGGGTTGATGGGGTTGGTGGGGTTGGTGGGGTTGGTGGGGTTGGTGGGGACGTTGGGGTTGGTGGGATGGGTGGGGTTAGTGGGGTTGGTAAAGGACATTCTTCGACGAGTAGTGGTTGTTGACGATGATGACGATGTTGATGACGATGTTGATGTTGGCGATGATGGAGGTTCTGGGTAATGGCGACCGTGAGACTTCTACGAGCTAGATCTAGTTCGATTCGGATCCGATATAGTTATCCTTCGCCGGTAGATGAGTCGGGCCGGGTGCGATGGCGACGGCGATCGAGATCTGATGTGAAAGCTAAACGAAAGGAAAGGAGGCCAAAGGACGCGTGATGATCAGAATCACGACATCGATCTCGGTCTCGGGTGATATGTGCCACTTACCTCGAATGGAAGGGTAAGGTAAGGTAAGGGCTCGCGCGGGTTGAAGCGAGAGATGAGGCCGAGAGGCGAGAAGGTAAAGCCGGGCGAGAGGATGTGGTCCGGGTCCGGGTTTGGTGGTGGTCGAGGTCGAGCATATTCGAAAAGCGGGCGGGGAAGTTGGTCCTCGAGGGGGTCGGGGGTATATATAGGAAGCACGAGGTTCGAGTGAGGATCCCTTTGAGATTTCGCAAAGGAGGTCCAGAAGGTCCTTTAAAGGATAGGCAGGGCCCGGAGGGGAGAGCGAGGGAGAGGACGAGGGAGGTAGATGTTGAAAGGATAGGTCGAGGTCGAGGGCTGGGGAGGATCGGGATTGTTGTGATCGTCGCTCGCTTCGCGTTACGTCATTCGGACATCCCCGGGCCGCTCTCGGTGCTGTATATGCGCGTCGCTTCGTTCCTGCGTTACGTCATTTTGCTTCCGGCAAAGTCTGCGCGTCGCCGTGTCGCCCACATCGCATAGTCTAGGTTGTCAGGCGTCACACACCTTCGGAAGCAAAACGTAGGGCAACGCTGACCTTGTTGTTCGTGGTCGAGCGATGTGATTGCGAGCGATTCCCCCTTTTGTCCACAAGTTACACGTCTCCGACCTTTGATCGAGCCCTTCAACTCAATTCTCTCATCATCTATCACAAATCCTCCTACACTCCTAGTCATCTCTTCAATCAACCATACCTCTCACGGAGACGAATACCATGTCGTCGTCCACCGCCCCCGAGGCCAACCCACCGAGGACATTGAGAAAGGTCAAATCGCGAAAAGACGCTTTGAACAAGGCCATCAACGATCACAACACCCAAGATTCTGCATTGGCTCCTCCTCTTCCGTGGACGGGTTCATACGTGAGTTCCTCATCAGAAAAAGAGATTCAAATTTCAAGGGGTCGTTGGCTGATAGTTCTTGTCTCTCGTTTGCTTTGCTTGCCTCTCTACTCCCTGTTCGTCGGCCCTTCCTTTACACGACACGACACGACACGTTGCACGTCGATACGAACTACCTCGATCAACCTCGAACTACTTTGATCGACCTATCCTCGAAATCCACCCCACCACCACCACAACCCTGAATCCACCGAACCACACCACATCACGTCCTACCCTACCTACCTTACCCAACATCTCGTCTTGTCTCGTACTCGTACGGATTGCTCATTCTCGGATCATAGCAACCGCCTACCACAGCTCCCACTTCAACCTCGATCTCGTCCTTGAACCTGAACCTGAACCCAAACCTGGAGCAACAACAACAACAACGAAGACCGGACTCGTACTCGAACTCCCACCCTGCGTCGAACTCCAACTCCAATCTCAACTCGAAGTTGAAAGGACGACCCTCAACGGCCGACCTCCGAACCCAGAAATCTAAATCTAGATCTCAATCTAGGTTGATTCCTCAAACTCCGGCGAACGGGAACCGGAACCAGATCGAGATCGAGTGCGGTCCGATATCGACCTCCGGCTCGAATAAAGGCGTTATATCAGGATCTGGATCTGGATCTGTATCTGGGTCTAGCGATACCAATAGCAATAGCAATAGCAATACCAATAGCAATACCAATATCAATAGCGATGGCAATACCAATAGCATTAGTATCAGCGAAACCCTTGAATCTGGCTCAAGCGTTGGATCTGGATTGGGGTCTGGGTCTGGCCGAGCGTTGGCTCGCTCAGGTTCCCGATCCAGACTAGGAGTAGGCAATAAGAAAGCTCAAGGTCGATCGCATGAGGTGTTTGATCTCGCTGCGATCCAAGCGCAACGGGAAGCTCAAGGGCAAGGTCGAGGGGAAGCTCAAGGGCAAGGTCGAGGAGAAGGTCAAAAGGAAGGTCGGGCAGGTCGAGGGGAAGGCGAAGGTCGAGCAGGGAGAGCTGGGAGAGCTGGGAGAGGTGGTGTGATAGAGGATGGTCTGCTTTCGCCATCCTCTACATCAACATCTACGTCCACCATATCCACTTTGGCATCCACTTTGGCTTCGACTTCTACATCCACACCGACATCGGTATCGACGGCGACGGCGACACCGAGATCGAATTCAACTTCCATGATGTCTTCCATGTCGACTTCGACCTGGACGGGCGGATCAGGGCCTTCGGGTTATATTTCCCGGTTCGGTTATCACAACCCAAACCCCACCAACCCCAACTCTAGCAATTCCAATACCGGCAACAAAAACAATTATACCAACCCCTCCTTTTATGTCACCGGCTCCAACCCCAACTCCAACTACACCAACGCTAACTCCACCTCCAACTCCAACTCAAACTCAAACAGCGGCAACAACATTCCCAAGCTCAACACCAGCAACAACAGAACCGGTACCGCAGGCTACAACCACGGTACCGCTGGCTATAACACCTCCACCAATAGCACTAGCACGGCGTTTCATAGGAAGCCTCCTAAGAAAGGACCGGAACGGCGGGAACTTGGGGTGGGGAGGCATTTGAGGTTCGAGCCGGAAGGTGAGTTTGGGTTTGAGTTTGAGTTGCGAATTTGAGTTTAGGTCGAAGTTCGAAAGGCGGGGTCGTTAGGAAAGGTGGGAGATGGGAGGAGGAAGCTGAATGATGGTTCTTTTGTTCTTCGTCTTTTCGCTTGCACTTTTACCTTTCACCGCTCGCACCGGCCACACCGGTCACACCGCTCACACCGCTCGCTTTATCACCGCTCGCCATATCACCCTCACCGCCTTCGGTCCTAACCCACCATCCGACGGCTCCCGACAGCCCCGATCATGCCAGACCCCGGGGCCTTTCATATGAAAGACCGGGTGGAATCGCTCGCCAAACGGATCTTGGGCCAAGCTAGGCTCGTCCTCGATGGTTTTGCCGAGGACCAACATCGAGGTCCGAGACGAGTCCAGCACCCGGAGCTCGTACCGGCTTTCCGGTGGGCGGTCCCGTTCTCACCGCATTCGACGGAAGGAGCTTATAAGAACGATGACGACGTGGACGGGCGTCAAGCGAGAGGTCCGGGGCCGAAGCAGGAGGAAGAAGAGGATCATAACGAGCGACCAAAAGGGTTTTTCCTTCCTGCCGGGTTGGACAAGCTGCATCGAGATATGGAGGGCAAGGAAGAGGCTGGGTTGGCGGGATGGGTGAAGGAGACGACGAGGTACCCCAGAGGAGCGGAAGGAGCGGGAGGGAAGGAGAAGCAAAAGACTGGGTCTTTCAAGTTTGCCGAGTTGCCGGACTTGTTCTCGAGGGTGAGTTCTTTCTATTTTCCTATATCAAAACAACGCCTAACCGGGTGGAACTGACTCGCTTCGCTTTTGCATTTTCGTCGTCTTTCCTTCTTTCTTCTGCGACAGGCCCACCACCTTGCCGCCCAATCCAACGGGACCCTGATGATCGTCACCATGCACCGATCCTCCGACCCGGCAGACCTCTTGACCGACGTCTACGTGACTCCAGGAATGTCCGTCGACTGTGCCCAGCTGGGCGAAGCCGCGGTCCAATTCAAGGACAACTTTGATCACCTGTTGAATCCGCAACGGTGGTGGACGAACCCGGGCAAGGGGAACCCCGAGTATACGTGCGAGATGGAGCGGGTCGTCGTCGATCCGCTTGATCCGCAGGATGGGTGGCAGAGGGGTATGGCCGGGCGTCATCGGGCGGTCCTCGAGGCCGTCTTTCATGGCCGTCCGGGTGAGTTCATTAAGATAAAAGGTGCAAGGTCTTTTCAAACGCTGATTAACTCCTTGACTCGATCCTCCGTCGCAGCAACCGTTCCTCATTTCGTTTATCCTTCGCAAAGACCAGGACCGAAAGCTGGTAAGTCGATCCGTACTCCAATACCAAGAACTTCGGGTGAGAGACTGAACTCGAGCTTGGCCTTCGCCACAGCTATCATGACAGACGGCGATCTGAGCCAGATCGTCTCGTTCCTGATTCGCTCCAATCCGGGAGGAGTGACCCATCCCTTGGGCAGCCAGAGGGACGACGAGGTCTCGAGACGTTACCAAGCTCGGTTTCGCAGTCATCAGCCGGCTGGTCCGTACTTGTACGAAGGGGCCAGCAAGGTCGCCGAAGGGACGGATGCGAGGGATGCGGGATATGACGTGAGTCGCCTTGTTTCTTGCTTGCCTTGACCGACCTCCTTGAGACTGAGAGTGGTTTCGTTTTCTTTCTTACATGGGGAACATTACGGCTATGACAACCGATCTAGATGCGCTATGTCACGGGAATCACAGGCGGTCTGGCTGCCACTTTCGTCTACAAACTGGATTCTGAAAAGGGGCAGATCTCCTCGACGGTTCATACCTCTTGGCAATTCTGGCCGTTGCATCAACATAATCTGATGAAGGTGAGATGCGATCACAAAAATTTAGTTGGGTACGAGGTAATGAAGCGCTTTGGTTTTCAACTTTTCCGTACCCGCTCCTTCTTCAACTTGGCCGCTTCTGAAATGGACTTTCTCGCACTCGATCCTGCAGATCAACGAGAGCGTTTACAAAGCCGTGAGGCCAGCCTTGATACTGAACGAAGTAGTCAAGCGGGGTCTCCATGACGAGGGTTGGTCTCTTCCGGCCTTGCAACATCCTTTCAAGCACGACAACAGCCCACAGGTCGCTCCTACCGAGTTCGTCCGGCACGTCTTTCACGACGAGATCTTGCCGAGGGTCGTATGGGAAAACTATCCTTCCCCGCTGGACTGCCAGGAACAACGTACGGCTGCAATCCGCTATATGGCCGGTACGGGTACCAGCTATACCCCCGAGTTCGATGCGATGAAGACCCCAAACCGACCGATCGTAGCTTCACGCCCTCCCCCATCCGATTCGTCCAGTCCGGGCCGGCCTGAAGAACTCGGAGATTACTTGAAGTCCCCGGATGGCAAGCTCTTCAGCTTTGTAAGGTAGTCCGCTTGCTGCTCGCTTTGTATCATGTTCTCGTATAGTAGGAAGGGTATCTATCATTATAATCGACTATGTGGGTTAGGAGAAATGTCCTGTTGTTCGTACAAATTACTTGACTTCCTCCTACATGCGTCTCTCCTTCATCATCCGGCTATACGACTACATCCCTCCGTTTCCCGAACCCTGCCTTCCGTATGCCATACATCCAACGGATGTCCTAGACCTCCACGTCCCTACGTCCCGAAAACCCTATCTCCCATCCATCGGACGCTCGACCAACCTGACGTTGCCCTCGGCTACACCGATCAACCTAGCGTGCAGCTCTTCAGACCGACTCTTCCAAAGGTTTGCCAAGTCCTTGTATTTCCTCGCGCTGCTCTGGGTGGTCTCCAGCTCTCGACGTAGATCGTTCTCCGATGATGATCCCTGAGGAGACATCGAGAGCTTCTCGTTGGTGACCCGGAGTTCCGCCTCTAAGTCAGAGATCCGGGCACGGGTCCCAGCGAGGTCGCTTTGTACGGTAGAGATAGCGGCGAGGTGGTCTTCCTTGAGGGTAGAGATGGTGGAAAGATGATCGGCTTTGAGTGTGGAGATGCTGGCGGAGTGATCGTTCTCTAGGTCAGAGATCCGGCTACGGCTCCCAGCGAGGTGGTCTTGTACGGTAGAGATGGCAGCGAGGTGGTCTTTCTTGAGGGTAGAGATGGCGGCGAGGTGTTCGTTCTCGAGAGTAGAGGTGAGGGCAAGGTGATCGTTTTTAAGAGTGGAAAGCGTCTCCTCGTAACGAGCCGTCGATTGATCGAGGGTACGTCGATGTTCAGCTTGGAGCTGAGCAATCTGACGCTCATACTCCTGGTTCCTATCCCGGTTTTCCAACTTCAACTCCATCTCCCTCATCCGTCCTCCTTCTTCCAACCTATACACCTTCTCCGCATGATCCTTGACCTCCTTCAACGCTAGAGCCAACTGGGTCTGCAGCTCGTCCTTCTCCCCGAGAGCTTTGAAGAGCTGGTCCGTCCTGCTCTTTCCCTCGGCGGCCATCTGATGGACCTTCGCTTCCCCATCGGCCACCATCTGACGAGTCCTCGCTTCCCCTTCGGCAACCCTCTGACGGAGCTGTTCGTTCTCGCTCTCGGCGGACTGGTAGTGATGAATAGCTTCGTCGAGTCTCTTCTTGTCTTCGAGACGAGATCGACGGATCTGTTGGCTGATCGAGGGGAGACCCTCCAAGAGGGCCGAGTTCGCTGATCGCCATTGCATGGTGATGGGATCCAGCATGTTGATGAAGGAAAGATGAGAGAGTTGGAAAAGGCAGGGAAGAGGGATGAACGGGAATTCCTAGTTTCGAATTGACCAAGTCTGGTCTAGTATTGCTTTCGTTGTTGCTAGAGGCTAGAAGACGACTTCTCGGGATCCTGACGAAGAAGCAAGACGATAGGTGGTTTGAGGTGTTGAAGATGACGATGATGGACGATGCAAACAACGACTGGCAAGGGAAGAAGGTCAGTTGATTCGATCAATTAGAAATCCGAGGGCGTGTGCCCGCGTCTTATTAGTAATCAGACGCGCTTTTCATTAGTCTTGTTTTGCTAATCCCAATGTCACCGCATTAGTATGAAGGCTGGCGGGCCGTATGACCTCTTTGAACCTCAAAGCACGTCAACCAGAATACAGGAAGTAAACGAATGAAACTGGGTATGATTATGACATACAAGCAGGAAAGAAAAAACAGATCTATTACAACAGACCGAACCATCCTACGAGTCGACCAAGTTACGAAACCCTGTTCCAACTACGAAGTCCCTATACGACCTCCAACTACCCGCCCAACGACCTTCCCCCCCCCCCCTCACGATCCCCTCACTCGACCTCGTCCTCTACCAACCACCTGGCAAAGGGTTCTACGAGTTCCTCTACCATGACGACTTTGAGCTGGTCGATCCATCGGATCAAGGCGAGAGGCCAGTGCAGGAACGTCAGGGCGAGGACGAAGAGGACGTCTAGCCTGACGACCTGTATGAGCCTGAAGCGGGGAACGGTTTTCTTCCTCCGATCATCTTGCTCGTCCAACCTTGTCCTCTGAACCATCCGCTCATCATCCGACCTCTCCTTCCGATCAGTCGCCTCGACCGACTGTAGAAGACGCCCTTGCAGCCGATCTTGACTCCCTTCCAGCCGTTCCAAACGTCGAGAGAAAGCCATGACGGCTTGGTTCAAGACTCGTGATTCCGGGACGGTAGATGGCCAGGGCGAGGTTTGAGTTGGAGGTGGAGGTGGAGATGGTGATGAAAGAGGATTTGCTTGGGTGGACGAGGTATGTTGATGATGATGATGATGATAGGAGGAGGAAGGAACACGGTCTCGTGCGAAGTTCGACTTGGAGATTGGAATAGGGAGGTCGGTTTGGGCTTGGGTGGGTTGTGCTTGGATGATAGCGGTATTCGATGAGTTCGTTACTATAGAATAGCCGAAGTCGAAAGGAATGAGAAACCTTTGATCGGGAACCCGATTCTTTGTTACTCACCCCCGTCGGCGTCGGCGGTCCCAAAAGCGCCTGGCCGAGCTCTGAGCGCAGCACGGTATTCCGGGGTGACATCCGGACCGAACTTGGTCATCACGCTAGGTCGACGTTCGGCTTCCAGCTTTTCCACCAGCCGGAGACGTCTGATTTGTGATCCTACATGTTTTCGCAAAGGAGAGCAGATAGGCGGGAGGAGGAGCGATAGGAAAAGAGAGGTAGAGGAGGTGAGCGATGCGGGAAGGAAAGCGCGAGGATGGGAGAGGTGCTTACGAGGTTGCTCCATGGCCAGATTCTCAGTGATAGCTAGTAGATCTCCGGTGTCCAATTTCTAGTCTCTATCCTGGATCTAATCGTATGTATGAGTGTGCTATATGGCTGTGGGCTTGTATATCTGTTGGAAGAGTCGGAACGTCGAGCTCCTTTGAGCTAGAGATCAGAGACCGATTCCATCGAGTTGCGCGAATTGACACGTAATCGTAAACAACAACAACAACAACAGACGAAGATTGAAGCCAAATGGAAGCGCAGAACGCAAGCGCTTACGGCCCGGGTGTCGGCGAAGCCACGCGCGCACGTGCGACAGATTGCGTTTCATGTTGATCAAAAGGACCTTCCAGGCTCTTCTAGCTTCCAAACGCGTCCCCTCGGTCTCGCTGCCCATCAGCGCGGGAGAGGAACCAGAGCAGGAGAAAGAAGGATCGAAGTGATCATTTCGAATTCCCCTCCTCTCGCTGCCGTTCCCCTCTCTCTTCCTGCTTCGCTTTTTGATGACCGCGGCCTTGTCGATATGTAAACAAACGCGGACCACCAACTCGACTCGGACCCTCTGATCCTTTCTCAAGTCGGAAGTCCTTCCTCTCACGATCTAGAGTCTCTGTCTATCGACATCGACCTATCAAACAACGTCAAGGTCATATCCCAGATCGCCCCACTCTCCACCCATTCCGACGACCACCTTGCGACCACCTCGAAAATGCAATCCCCAACAACCCCAACCCGTCCTTCGCGTTCAACCACACTGGGAACTCAAGACGACCTCCTCTCAACCATTAATCATACTCGCCAACTTCGATCAGCCGTCGCCACACCTCAGAGATACGGCAATTTCGTCAATCCACCTCCACGGGTCTCGCCGAGGAAACGTCAGGGTCAGGTTGGCCGTCGCGATCCCGCCGGTACGCCTTTGGTGACGGAGATTACGGCTGGGAATGGGAGTCGAAAACGAAGAGCTCCTTCGGGTTCTCCTTCTCCTTCTCGTGGACCTCGTTTGAGGCCTCAACAAGTTGGGTTGCGACCTTCACCTTCGAATTCGGTTCAACAATCCATACCTCCGAATCCGGTCCAACAACCTATGGAGCTTGGGCCGGCCATCGAGATTCAACCGCCTATCGAAGTGCAAAGACGAAACGGGCTGCGTACGCGGGATGAGCTGCAAGGTGACGTCGTTGAGGTACCCTTCGAGCGAGTAGACCAGGGTTCTGGGAGTTTGACGGCGAATACTACTGGGTTTCAGGGGAGAGTCGGTGAGTCGCCGAATCGAAGACTTTCTTGTTTTTCTTCTTCTGCTTCACCTCGCTGCTCGGAACGGAACTTGTGTCTAGAATCTGCACTGACGCTCGCACTCGTGTTTGTTTATCCCTCAACAGGAGCGGTGATCGAGGTCGATCCGTTTCACCAAGGCCAAGGCAACCAAAATGACACTCATCAACCCGGAATCGAGAGCTGCACACTGCAGAGATCGATCAAGCCCAATGTTTCTATCCTCGCCAACACCACCTCAACTCCCATCACTCTTCAAGCACCTCTTGCCGAAGAACCCGATCTTCCTACCTTCACCAGCTCCACCTCGTCCATCGTCACTCCTCCCAAAGGCCCGCTCGCTCAGACGATTCCCCAATTCACCTACGCCCAGCCTCCCCTCCAACGTCATCGACCCCGCCGCCCATTCTGGATCTACAGGTTGATCAGCCGACTCCTCCTCTTCTTGTGTCGAGTCTTGATGATCACCTCTACCGAGACGGTCGTCGGTATCTTATCTATTTGGTTTTTCATGCCGAGGTGGATGTGGGAAGGCGGGAGGTGGGTGTGGGAGGTCGTAAGGGGAGGAAGGGCCGGGAGGTGAAAGTCAATCCCAGGGGAAGGAAAGAAGTCAGGAAAGATAGACTAGGGTTCGGACGTACTAGATGAGCGGTTACGGAAGGGAGGTCGAGGGGTTTCGAAGGGTTCGCGCGAGGCGCGATGGAAGAATCAGATCGGGGTCGGAAGATTTGGACGCCCGGGGTCGGAGACGATCAGATTTGCCTTGTAATAGCCTCACGTCCCATGTTATATTGAAAATGCTTGTTCTTCCAATCTGGATCGCTCGTCGTGATTGTTCATCATTGTGCCGAAGCATCGCCTGGCTAGCTCGATCGAGCGCGATACACGGTCAGAGGCGCGGTCTGCGATCGTCGCATAGGGTATGCGATCGTCCGCATGTCGACATGTCACCAATTTCGCATACTCACGGTCAAAATGAATTGCGTTTTGTCGGTGACACCGCGCGGAAGCAGATCGGAACAAAGCGGAACGGTCGATGCCGCGCCAGCAAGGTCGGCAGCGAGATTGATGGATCGACCTCGACCTCGGATTTTGATCAGAAGAAGAAGAAAAGTATCCCCATCAAATAGATCTTTCATCGCCCAGAGCCATAGTCTCATATGACAACCCTAGCAAAATGCCATTCGTTGAAAAGCCACGGACGAGCCGGTCAAGCGTATACCATTCGCTCGAATATTGCTAGCTTGCTCCGCCATGTACGAGCCATGGAAATCGTGGATGTCGACCGCGTTTCATTGTTGGTCGATCAAAAGACCCTTCCGACCCCCGTGCGATGAAGGCGAGGGCGAGGCTCGACCCTGGAGGGTATATATACAGGCCGTCCGGTTTTCACGATCCCCCCTCGCCATCCTTTCATCCTCGTCTTGCTCGATTCAGCAACGAGCTCCCAACTCCAGCTATCCTGGTTGTCCTTTCGAATCGCAACAAATTAGATCATGTCCTCGACTTCCGAGTGAGTTCCTCGTCGCTGTTTTCTTCTCATCAAACGAAGGACTGACTTTAAACTCGGTGTTGCAGACCCCACGCCCAGATCCCCGTCTCCGGTGACGAGAACAAGGTCGAACCCTCAACCCCGACCGACGAGGGGTCCCTAAGGTCTATTTGGACCGACGGAGAGGATTCTGAAGGCGAAGAGGAAACCCAAGGCGAAGATGAGAATGAGGGGAAAGGCGATGGCGATGCCGATGTCGCGGGAGAGGTTGGAGAGGTTGGAGAGGTCGGAGAGGTTGGAGAGGAAGAAGGTCAGAAGGAAGCCGCTGAAGGCGAGGCTCTCGATGAGTGAGTCTTCCATTCACCGACTTGGTTCCCCAGCTCTCATCATATCGACTCTCGGGATAACGAAACTGATCTAGATTCGTCATTTGTCTCCCCTTCATTCTCTTCCTCAGCGTCGGCACCGACGGCGAACACAGCGTCGGCAACATCGCCGTCACCCCCGTCCAGGTCGAACAACAGCCCACTCTCGATGTTCAGATGAAGGAACCCGCCAAGGCCGTCGTGACTACCGAAGCTACCACCGGCGCTATCGACAACCAAGCCGAAGCGGCGCCTCCCGTACTCGCTACCAACGACAAAGCCGGATCGGCTACCAACGACCATGTTGAAGGAGCGACTGCCGGACCCGCTACCAACGACCGAGCCGAAGGCCAGACCACTCAGGAACGAGAACTCGGTCCTTCCGGACGTCGTTACCACCTGCGCTCGATGGCCGAACGCAAGAGGCAGCTCTGGGGTAAAGAGGACATCTAAGTTGGGGGTTGTCGTCGGTACAGGGTCGGGTTGGGGTGTTTGTACCGCAGCCGCCTATGAATTGCCTATCGATCCCATGTTCTCGCTGCCAGACGAAGTGTACCCACTAAGAGACGTGATGTATTTGGCGGGTGTTTGCCATTTCATGTTTCGGTATCCCCATCACCATCCCCATTCCCATAGTTCGGTACCCCAATCCCCATCCCCATCCCCATCCCCATACTTAGGTGCCCAATCCCCATGCCCATACTCTGGTACTCTCATCCCCATCTTCATATTTCGCTACCCCAACCCTTATCAATGAACCGGAGTGCGAGCGCTCGGAATGTCTCAAACGTGTTCGAAGAAAGTGTAGAACGCAAACATCGAATGAACGTCTTGGCCGTGTCAGGCGTCGGCGATCGAATGTCTTGAACGTGTGCAGCGTAGAAGATTCGAGGCGTTCTACGAGGTTGAGGTGTTTGGAGTTCGACAATTCAGTCAAGTCGCAAGCGTAACATATAAGCTTGTGTGTTTGTCGTTGTGCATGGCATCATAGCCGTGAATTTCGTGGTTCCCTCTTCAGAAAGCCGCCTGTTGCTGCTACGTATCGACGCCTGAGATTATGTCGTAAAGCACATGGACGAAGGGTTCGCGACTGCTGGCCGTTTGCGTTATGAGAACCTGTTTGCGTTACGGATACCTACATTGACTGTGACATTATATGCGCTTTCCTGTTCGGATCTCTAACATGCTTAGCGCTTCTTCTTGCCACCTACGGCAGCAATCGGGAGGTTCAACCTCGCATATTTCACGTTGTGCTATCTATCCTGGTCTTTGTTTTTGCCGATTACGAACAATATCATTCTTCATGGAAATTCGCCTCTATTCCCCTCCAAACGAAACCTGGTCGACAACTGAAAATAATGTACTGGACATTTCCAGATCAATCGAGCTATGGCCACGAATATCTCATCTCTATCGATTGATCAAGGACATCACAATTGTCAATGCTGTATCGATCCATCGAATCGACAACCCATCTGGATGGTGTTGTCCAGTCGAAACATAGTACGGCTAATAGCTAGATGAAGGTGAATCTTTGCATGTTCTCCATAAGGATGTGGAGCCGTCGACGAAAGGTATGCCCGAATATGCAAACAATCTTCATTATATGCCATTGTCATTAGCGGCGCTCCCACGCACAAAATTGCCTCTATACAATACAGCCAAAAAGGAAGAAGGACTGGCTGAACTTGATCCCATGGCTCGTCTTGTATTCGACACCCCTTAGTTAAAGTGCATTAGCCTCTACTCTGTAGTTGTCAATACCGTTTGCGTGACGGAAACCCCTGCGTCCCCAAATGAATCGAGGAAGTCGGGGCCTGAAGTTGACATCCAAGACTGGTAAAGCGATGAGACGCTTGGTCAAATCCCAGCATCGATCAAAGCTTCACCGCTCGTACAATCTGTAAATGTCATCGCAAGGTCATTGTCACCGCGATGTGATGTCACCGCAAGCGCGCGCCTCCTCACCCACGCCCTAGGTATACCTCTGATCAGGACCTCGCGGTTGATCCATATCTTATACATTCGGTTGGGGAGTACCTGATTGCTAGATCGCAAGCTATTTCACAAGTTCTCGTAAATCAATAATTTCTACGATTCCGGCATGAGTGTGACGCTGTCGAAGACAACTTGACAGACAGTGGCAAATAGGAGACGACCTAGGGAAATCGCAAACGCGCCATGCGCTTTCCTTCTAGCCGACAATCGATTAATCTGTTTCTCTTGTCTTTTATTCCCGTTGTCGGACATTTGGGATGGAAAACACCATATCATAAAGGATGGCGCTACCAAGCATGGGAGGGCCGAAAGTGGCGACCCAAAAATGGGGATACCAAAAATGGGGAAATCGAAAATGGGCACCCGAAGAACGGGTATTGTTTGGGCTATCGAACTCCGGGATCTCAAAGTTTGCTAGCAGAAGCTGGGACTGTGTATATGGGAGGCCAGAATAAATATCAGAAGCGATGCGCTGGTCTCGCTCGATTGGGCGTCATAGGAATTACCTGACAAGCTTGCTGCCTCCTTCGCGCCTCCTTCGCGCCAGAGTGCAAGTCGATGGCATCCATCTTTTGGGTTGATAATAGGACTCGATCACTTCAGCTTGGATGACAAGACAGTAGGACGAGTCGCCCAGTAACAGTTCTGGCATCAAGTTCTTCGATAGCGCAAGACGGTATATGTACCGGGATGTCGATGACCTCGCGATGAATCAAGGAAGCCCTGTAGCAAAATATCGTGGCAACGTCCCGGGTCATGACGTTCATTGTTCCTAGTGTTGACGGCGCAGCCTGATCTTGCTGGAACCGCAGTTTTGGAAAATTGGCGGGTCTGACACTGGGGAATCCATTCGAAGCTGAACGTGATCTGGAAACTGTAAATCGCAGATACAGTACATGGCCGTGTGACTAACCATTCCGAGCCCTTCCGCGATTTCTCAGCCTGGACCGGAGGGAGATGTGTACCGAGGGAAATTCAGAATCGTATATGATAAATATCGTGCTCCCAATCGGACTCACCAAGAATGGCATCACGAGCGCTTGTCTATCACCTATCAGAGTGAGCGACAAGATCGCGTTCCAAGACCATCAGCGAACGGAGTACTGCCAAGAATGCGAGGTATTTGTACTGACTCTGAGACGTTGGATAGGCGCAGGACAGACCTGTTCCACCGATGTACCATCGCATCGTCTTTCCCATCAGCGCTGGTGATAGAAGTCCGAAATTATCCTTGTGGTGTGACGGACCTGGATGTAAGCCGACATGTGAGGCACCAATCCGACGAGTCGAGAGACCCTGCGGTGAGTGACCGAATTTAGCAATTAGTCCAATGCGAATGAAGGCGAACAACAGAATGGCTTGAAGGGCACTCACCAGTATCCTCGATAATGATGCGGTGCGGCAAGCCCCCTTCGATCGTCCTCGCTCAAGAACTGTCAGACGATATACGAAAACAGGCCCGGTCAGTTCGGGAATGTTGTACGACGCATGCCCCCGGCCGTGGGCAACCGGAGGTACTCACCGAAAGTGAGCTCCCTAGCATCGATCGCACGACAAACACTCTGCCCTGTTTGTTCCTGTTTGTCAGGCGACTCGGTATTGACCTCGATATATCATAACCTGTGTCTAGATTGGCGGTAATCCCCGGCAGCGGGGGGATGATAAGCAATGACCGTAAGCATCGATTCGGGTGCGACGCAAAGTGTAATGCAACAAGCCCACAAAACCGACTCACTCATTTTGGAGTTGAAAGCTCCTTGCCATGCAATACAATCCTTCTTGTATTCATGTACAGCGGCTTGTAAGCGCCCTGCTCTGCACTTCCGGGATTCAGCCCGATGCTTGGGTGCGAGGTGATGGCTTAAGATGTCGACGGCTATGTGGATGTTCACGGGATCGCCCTCTAACTCCGTCCTTCCGCTCATTCAGATCCAGCAGATCACTTCAATGTCGTTGTCGTGGTCGTCTGGCGTCATGCTCGTGAAGTGGTGTGGTCATGGTAATAACAACAACCACTCACCCCGATTCCCCGATAGTCCAGTGGAAAGAAGACCTATTTATTTCACTGGCAACAGAAAAAAAAAACAGCAAGTCTGTTCAGCGAAACTGGTTGTATCATCGTTTGCAGATAGAAGGACTTACCTTGATGGCTCGCTCTTCGTCTTCGTCCTGCACATCTTCTATAGGTATAGCTTATAGCTTATAGCTATAGCTATAGCTATAGGTATAGCCAAACTCCAACTCCAACGTGATCTCGAACTCGAGCTCGAATGAAGATCGTCTTGACTCTTCTTGAACCTGAACCTGAACCTGAATCTAGATCTGAACCTGAATCTCCCGCCCGAGCGTGGCTTCCACTCCACCCCACTTCGTCTTCAAGTTCGCTGATTGTATTGCAAGGAGAAGCAGAAGATCAGGATCGGTTTCCTGTCTTTAAGTGTCGGATGTGAAACAAACACGAATATAGACGGGAAAAACGAGAGTATGCTACACTACTGCTACTATAGGTTCGGCAGGACAAGAACTTTTGACTCACGATTCGGATTCGTATTCGCTCCGCACGTAGGTAGCTAGCTCGATTTCGATTTCAATTCTGGATGTCCGACTTGGGATGTGCGCTTTGACTCTCCTTCGAACTTCGGTCGAGACGAAATTCTTTGACCATAATTGGTTGGATAGCTCGTACAGGATAACCAAAACGAGTCTTCAATGGGACGATTCCCGATTCGCAGCTCGATGTGGGAGTCATATAGGTGAACGATAGATGAGAGATCGACGGATGCGCAACAGAGAGCGATAGAGAGCACCGGATCGATGTATGAGGAAGTCTGGCGAGTTTATTTCTCGATTCAGCGAGGTGTGGTGCATATTTCGCTGCGTTGTTGTCGATCAACTGGATCTTAGTGACTAGGGCGACCGCAGGGGGTTTGGATCAGCTATAGCTTCGCTGCTCGCTGAGGCAACCATATGTGGGTGAACAATCTCTTGTGAATCGTTTCGATGGGGAACCAACTTCTGGGTGACCCAGTTTTGGGGCTGCGGTGACCCATCGTTGGGTGAGATGATGACGTATCTTGATTACGTAATTCACTTCAGCCCCCCGGATCCGGTCCACCTCCACCTCCACCCTCCTGGCTCGGATCCGACGCTTTCGACCTATCGACAATGGTCTCCGTCACACCATCACTACCAATCTCACTTGCTATCAACAAGCCGAAACCGACCATAGCCTCGAACCACAAGAACGCATAAACTCGAACAATCGCCTTCACCCACTTTCAAAGAGGAACCTCGACCTTGACCTGCCCGCACTCCTAGCAATTCAAATCCAAACAAAACGATTACCACAGAACGAAGAGGTCGACTACGCTAGCCCATGAAGTAGTCTCGCTAAGGGGTACATAATCCTGGAGATTCGGAGATGAGGATGAGAATGGAGATGATGAGGAGGATGAAGATGAAAAAAGCGGAGTCGAGAGTCGATTAGGAGTGAAAGTGGAGTGGAGTAGGAGTGGGAGCGATGGTGGGAGTGGGACTAAGATCCGGGTAATGCGGGAAGATAAATCGCTGCAAGGTAAGTCCGAACGAATTCCTCCACGCTGGCTGTCACCCCATCACAATCAATCACATCACTTCGAAAACTTTCTTGCTATCCATCCCTGTTTTGTTATGTTTGGTGGAAGTAGACGAGCTGAACCTGGGTTTGAATCTTTTGCTTCAACTCGCCCTCGGCCCCGGCTTTGTACTCGTACTCCTCTTGCAAGGTCTTTCCTTCCCCAGCCCGGGTTACGTCATTTCTACTCTTCTCACCCCACCCAGCCGTTCCCTCCTTCCATCTCCGCTTGCGGGACCTCTCCATCATATCGATATTGATACCCATCTGATCTTTTATCACCCCGGAACCCGGAAACCTCGATGACCACACTACACCACTACAGGCGTCGAAAAGTCTACAGGGTACAAGGCGCACAGAGAGGGCTTTCCACCTAAATCGACCTAATCAAAGGGTCGTTCCGACGGCCGAGATCGAGGAGGTGAGTTGTGGAGGATTTCCCGAGCTTTTCTCGCGCCTGGTTGAGATCGAATTTGCACTTCGAAAGCTGACCTGAACGCTTTGCCTTCTTTTGTTGAAAGGTGAAGGGACGCAGTTGGATTCGGATTCGGATTCGGACCGCAAGGCAACGCCGTCGAGGCGAAGTTGATGTTACATTGTGGGCGAAGATACTGGTCAGTACTTTACAAACGTGGTGGGGTTGATCTAGGTCTATGTGCGTTCGTGAAGTTGATTTAGGTTCGGGTCTTGGGGTTCGCTTTTGTTTGTTTGCAGGTTACATCACGTTACGGGCCTACTGGTGGTCTTGAAGCAAACGCAAACGCGAATCGTGGCAAGAGAGAGGTTGGGTCAGGTTGGTAGTCATACGACAAGACGTTCAAACCGGCTCTTCCTTGGACGGAGGGTGCTACTTGAGCCGCATCCGAGTCAACATGGATTTCGGCGCCTTGGAACTCGTCGATGATAGGACCAGGACGGTTAGAGATTTTGCCTCGAATCCGGAAAGAGCGGAAAGGATCAAAGCGGGATGTTCGCCCAAATCTAGAGGACGCCAGACCCGCAGCCGAGGTACGAGACGTTCGAGGCGCTCGACGAATATTGGGCGTCGAAGCGAATGGGAGTTCGCTGGATCTCATCTTGGGGGTAGCGGTGAGTCTCTACTGTTCTATCCTATAGGGTCTAGGTCCTGTTACCTGACGATACTATGTCCGGTTGTGATCCTGCACAGTGAAACACAGCTCGGTGACCTTCTCGGTGGCGCCATCAAACGTGGGAAGACATGCTCGACGTCATCAACAGTGCGGCGGCATGGTCAGGCTTCGTACGGCGACTGGTAAGCGGATGACTCGGCCAGATGGACGTCGAGTTGACCTCGCTTTCGTGCCTCCACCATCTTGGCTTATCCAGCCTTTTCGTCTACAGGTAGTCATAATGCGTCAGTCTCCACCTCTCGTGCGTCATGTTCCGTGCTGGAACTGACTCAACGACCCCATGGCCCACGCTCGGCATAAACCGCAGCCCAACAATGTCGCAAGCCACCCAAGCCCAAACCCGACGTCGCTCAGCTCTGTTTGCCCGACTTTACGCCATACCGGGGCTTTGATAGTGAGAGTGCGTTCGTTTATGGACATTACAATCAGCCAGACGTCTCTAAAAACAGACATGTTCTTACAGCGCAGATCCTGAGCAACTTTCAGCGCATATCGGCAACAAGATCATCAAATTGCGTGACACCGCTACCCTTGTGTCTGCGAGCTCGGCCACCTTAAAAGCTGCAAGGACATCTGGGTTTCGCTTCGAATGCTATTCGGCTTCTGTGAGTTTAGATTGGCGCACCCAATTGTTCACCTGCCAAGCGATGCTGACGGACCTCGTACAACACCTACGCAGGAGAACAGGGTCAAGCCGTCTGGTACTTCTCGCGCTCCTACTACGGTATCGTCGGCATGAAGACGATACATCCGAATCCTGTGACACAACGGATCGCCTAAGCCGACCGGACCCGAATCGAAGCGGAAATCTGTAGGACTTGCAACCCGGACCGCCATGTTGATGGAAGACTCGAACGGGTGTCCAGAGGAGGAATCGCCTTGATAGCTTGGGCAACCCATCGAAGGGTGAGTCTGCTTTCACCTTTGACATCTCGGACAGATTCTTTCGCTAATCGGTCCATTGTCAGCTTGCAGCGAATTGACGAAGCTAAGAGAGAGGAGCTACGATGACGTGCTTCATCGCTCCACCGTCATATTCGAACATTCTCGAGGGCATGCGGGTGAGTAGGCTGGAATTTGAGGCTGCCTTCCTTGTCCCTTTCAACGGCATCAAGCTGATCTTGCCGATCACTTTCCAGATGCTCACGTACGGCTGTGTGTCGTTGAGCATTGCGTACAGCGACAAGTCGTTAATCAATGGTCAGCGAAACGTTCGAATGATGGTATCGATGCTGTCCCGAAACTACCGAAGTTCGACGACTGTTGGCGCTCCTGTCAGAAAATTCGGTACGCACCCCGGACAGATAACACGGAGGTGGCAGATGCTGATCGAATTGTATTCCTTCTGACGATAGGTACTCAGGAAGGGCAGGCAAGACGAGGCAGCTTCCGAATCTCAGCTCGAGCCGATATCATCGCACCATTTCTGCTATCTGGAAGCGTCCGCCTTTGGCTTGTCTATCGAACACCCACCCACATGAACATTACATTATTGAGCTTCAGGATTCTTGCGAGACGACTTGAAGATGTTCGCAAGCTGAATGAGCCGGCGCTCAAGCAAGCATTCGTCTCGATAAGCCGGCGCTCAGTCGAGGATAGATTCCGAAGAAGTCTTTCGAACCCGAGATTCCGAAATGTGATCCGTTCGTCGTTCATGAATGCCCATCGTATATCACATCCCCTAACACCGACTATTACAATCACGTTCAATCGAGATTACACCTGCAACAACCTTCTAATCCCGTCCAGCCCTAAACCAACCCACCGGCCTTGTTGGCGAAGAAAGAGTCGACGGGAAAAAGAGGCTGGTCGTCGCCCAAGTCGATCGGAGGCAACTGATACTCGGCGTCCTTGTCGTACGGTACCGCCTCCAAAGAATCTTCCCCGGCGGACCTGCCCATCAGGAAGAGAGAATCGCTGCCAGGGTCGATCGGCGGAAGAGGCTCAAAGTCCTCACAAGGGAGGCCTTCGCGTAAATACGGCTGTGCGAAAATTGGATAATTGGATCAGGTCACCGACACCAATGACAGAGAATGATGGGGAACGGGACTGACCTCTAACCTGACCCGCGTCTCTCGTGGTCTAGCGACCACCGCCTGTCTTTCCGCTTGATACATCCCCGAGTCTAGATCTAGATCTCGGCGAGGGCCGAACTCGAGCTCCTGAGGTCGGACGATCTCGCCGACTTCGAACTCTCTCCTAGGCTCCGGCGCATCCAAGAAAGCTTCTTGTTCTCGAAGCGACGCAGCCAAGAGAGCCTCCTCGAGAGACGCATTGAGCTTCCCCATCAAAGAACCGAATGGGTGGGGAGGTTCCGGAGCGACGGGAGAAAGGTCTTGTTGAAGCGGGGGAGGAGGGTCTCGAGGTGGAAGCCGAGGAGGGTCTTGTGTAGGAAGCCGTGGAGGGAGCCGAGGAGGTCCTCGGGGCGGAAGGCGAGGAGGATCCCGTGGAGGGAGAGGCGGAGGCGCTCGAAGACGACTCAAAGGATCCTGGCTGGAGGAATTCAGGAAAGGCGAAGAAGTCGACCCTCGCAACCTCGGCTTCTTGGTGACTTTGACAAAATCTCCTTGAGCTGTAAGAGGAGGACTTTGGCGGTGACTGGTATCCCGATTCTCCTTTAAGTCCTGGTCCTGCTCGTCTTTCCACAGCTGTAAAGGCGAGAAAGACCAAGTCCTTCGGATCTTCTGAGGAGGAACTTCAGTCCCTTTTGGCTTCGCCTTAGGTTCCCGTTCGCTTTGCTCATGTTCAAGCCGGAGTCGTTTTTCTGGTTCGTCGGCGGGGAAAGGAGCGGGGAGATGGTGTTCCTCGTCTTGACCTTTACTGAGATGAGCATTGCGATAACAAGAACGAATCAGCTTCCAGCTCTATGGCTCTATGGAAGGGTAGATATCGAGACGACTTACTGCTTCTTAGCGAAAGGATTCCAGTTTTGAAGGGATCCGAGACGACGACGAGATTTAGGCGCCTCATCGATATTTCCGTCTGCGGTATCCTTTCTACAACGACATAGCGGGATATCCCTGGTCAGGATCGACCGTTACTGAACTCGTGTCTTTCCCAGACGACTTACAAGACCTCAAAGCCGTCTCCCTCTTCAGATCCCGATCGAAAGGAGGTCGCCGCTTGCGAAATGCCTTTCTTGTTCGACCCATTGAGGTGGATGAAAGGAACGCTGGGCATCGCTGAGGTATTTTGCGAAAGGGGAGGTTGTCTATTGTCTAGTAAAGGATGGTTGCCAGCGACTTGTAGGTTGAAGACCGCAAGTTGGCGAGTGGAAGGATGGTTGAGGTCGAAGAACGAAGATTGAAAGTCGAAAGGATCTGGTCCGTCCTTATATGTCCCTCCGAGTCAGCCATCACCGAGCCAAGCTCTACACCTCAAAGGCATCGCGTCTGATCGAGTGGGTTGTTGTTGTGATCGTTTTCGAGCGGCCTCTCGGTCTGCTGCCTCTCTCCTCTCTCTCCATGCCATGACCTTTCCGGCAAAGATGCTTCGATGATCTGCGTTTTTACGTCATTCGATTCGGGCCTCGCGTTGCTGGACCATACGGTGCAGCTAGCAGCTTGATCGATTGATGAACTTGATGAATCGAAGAGGACTGAATCATATCACGATCAATGATGGCTATGGCTACGCTACGTTACGACGAAGATCCGATTGCAGCAGCAATCAGCTTGGATTCCAAAGTCTAGGTAGCTCTATCCCCGTCGAGATGGGGGTGGATGGGATTCGGATCAAACGACGTGTTTTTTGGACAATTTTGCATCCGCAAAGTGGGCGACGCGCGTCCAGGAAGGGGTGTGGAGGTCCTCGAGGGTCCCCTCTGGCTCTCCTGCCGTCATCGTGCCACGCGACCCACTTTGAAACACGAAACGCTCATCAGATCAAGGAGGAAAGAGATGGAGAGGGTTTTGTCGTGGTTGTGCCGAGGCTCCAGGGGTCTTAGCAGAATCGACTGGATAAGGTGCCGCAGTCGCGCAAATCGGGAAGGTATATATGAGCCAGGGTCAAGCCGCGTCGGCTTGTCGAATCGACGTCGCCGTCCTAATGATAATATCTTGAAGATTCATCGCTACCCGGCGCGCTACTTCGATTCGATATTCTCATCGACGATCTATCAATCCCTCACACCATGTGTGACCTATCTCCTGCTCCTTCTGATCAATCTGAAAGCTCACACAAGCCGAGCGCGACAGCCCTAAATTCAAGTCAAGTCCCGCCCCGCTTCGAGGTTAAAGTATGACTATGACTGGCCGGCGTCCTTACTGATAACTCCCTCCTACTTCCTACTGTACCTGCGATTCAAGCTCTTCTTTACGATAATATCTCACAAACTTCCTTCTCCATACTCAAACCCAAAAACCCAATCAATACAATACAATACTTTACGTCCAACATCGTTCAACCCAATCCCGATTGCAATTTCAGTTTTAGTCAAATGACCCTGCTCTGGATGATTTTCGAGATCGAGATCGACTTTGACATGATCCCTATAACCCTTCCGTCGATTTAGATTTCGAAGCTACTGTATTACAAGATTGTATGTTTCTACATTACAGTCCCTGTCCCTGTCGGAAGGTGTTCCCAGCGCGTCTTCCTCAACGTGGCTGTTGATTTGTACCGAATGTCCCCGTCCGGTAGGTCCGGCCCAAATCGTCCAATCGAGAAGCCATTTTCGCTGTCGAGAGAGAGAGAGAGGTCCGTGCGAGTGATGCGACAATCGATGAGGTTACAAAGCAGCTTCAGAGGGGTCATCGTCGAGCAGAAGGATTCTAAACGATCTGCCCGATTGGAGATGGAGAGACTCGGGGGAACAGCGCACAGCCTAGACCTCCTGTTCAGATTGATTGAAAGTAGTAGATCCATCACTAATCCATTCGATCTCGTTGGCGGGCCTCGTGTATACAAGGTTGTTAGGTTTGTACTCATACGTGCGACTGTTTTACGAAGATGATAATGATATACCTCTAGACCACCATATACCATCTTCTTAGAAGCTAGAAGGCCGTCGGGACGTCAACACCGCGGGAACGTTGTCCCGTCGTTATCTATGCCGAGGACTGCGTTCGAAGGGATCTCCGAGTGCTTTTGTAAAGGAGGCTGGCAATTATGTAAAGGTTGTTGAACACTACGCTCGCCAAAGGAGGGGGGCAAGCGATGCATGGACGAAATATGGAACTGCCGCATCCGAACACGAGGATATAAATATCACTCGTGCTGCCTCGAAGAAGTCACTGAATTCCGAACCGACGCCCCGGCGAGCGAAAACGGTTTGACGAGGAACACCGAGTTTCGATAAGCGGCGCTCGAAGTGATACTGTACAGTGAAGGCCGCGCGGAAGTAGCCGAAGATGATAGAGTATGAGAATCACAGTAAGGCAGATGGATGTAAGCGCTGCGCGAGCTCGTCAACAGCTAGTTCCTCAAATTCTTCATGTGAGCGAGTTATGGGTGAAAGCTTTGATTATAGTCTGGCGTGTAATAAGTGCAGTGGCACCGTAGCCATGTATGCCGTAAAACTGTATGAAGGGTAAAGTCCGATCGAGGAAGTTCGCGAAGTGAAGACAACGTCTAGTTTGCAGGATGAGAGCTATGTCCGCAGCGATACGATATGCGATACGGACGGTTTCCATCAAGTTAGGAGGATGATTATAAACAGGAAGACTGTATCGCATAGAAGGTGCTAGGGAGGATGTCCCTCTGAACTTTCGGCTCTCTAGGTCGCACCCGCTGAGCGCGCGCTTCCCTCGCATCGCCTCGCTACTGGACTGCTTTGCGAAAGCCCAGGAAAGAAATGATATCGTGCTTTCTGCCGTTGCCCTTGTACTGTTTGGCTGCTGTCGATCTATGTTTGTTGGGCGATCCTGACGGCAACAGTGCTTTGTCCCTTTTGATGTCGTTCTCGGGATCTTCTACCTCTCTATCGTCTCCTTCTTCCAGGCCCTCACCCTCACGTTCGCCCTCGATCTATTCTCCGTCTCCATCTACTCCACCTTTCTCCTCTCCTATCGTTGCCCCCTTATCGTACACTTCTTTCGTCTTCGCCCATCTTTACAGCAGACCAGCTGTTCCATCTCGCCCTAGACCTTCCGTCGATTGTGCTGAGCCGCGCCAACCTTTATCCGACCTCGTTTAGGACAAGCAGGCCCTGCCGCCTCGCTCTCAGCTTGTGTGAAGTGATGAACAATTTCAGGTCGTAGGCCGAGACTGTATCGCCAACTTCTGGGTGGTATGCGTTTTATTCCTTAACGTTCGCTCTGCTCGCAAGCTGTTCCCGCATGTACGTCCCGGACGCATCTGGAAGAATTGCGGGCAAGAGCAGTAGCCGTCGCTCTGTGTCCACCCGTCCTTGCTCCTGGTCTTCTGAGCAGGAGGTCCTTCGGCCCGGACCCGCCTACTTAGTCCTGCTGGAAGGTATCCTGTCGAACCCCTTAGGGTCGATGGCGATGACGTGGTGTGTGTCGACGATTGCCATCCTCCGGAATCTCTCCAGTACCGAGCCGTTTGCAATTTCGGCTGGTCCTACATGTGCGTAAGGACTGGCAAAGGACAGCTTGCTTTTGTGTTTGACGATCCGGTTGGTTACGGTTTTGTTGTTGAAATTCGAACCGTTGCCGGTCAGAGGAATGATGGACCTGGTACGTGGGTCTACTAACGCCTCGACTACCGTCAGGGCCTTCCTTGTGCGTCCAAAACATGTTGTAGATTGTAAAGCAGCCCACCGCTACGAGCAATTGATTCATCTCGCTCATGCCCACCGGCATCGAGACGAAGTCCATTGCGACTAGCGAGAACGGGCTGAAACGCAGAACCGGCTTCAGAAGCAGGCGCGGGTTCAAGGCGGACGCAGTGGGAATATACGCTGAGCGCGGGGTCTACGTCCCTCCTCATCGATGTCCGGTGGTACGGTTTCCTGAGCTTGTCCATGGTCAGACCCCTTTCGAGGTGTTCATTAGTCTCGCGGATCGCTTGCGTGGCCTCCTGAGGTAAGCTTGCACCGTTGTGACGTCTAGCGCAAACGCTCGATGATTCTTCCTCGCGATATCTTGAACGCGTGTTCTTCGTGCAGGTGGAAGGTCCGGTCGGTTTGACTCATGGTCGTCGTTCGCTGCGACTTCCATTCGAGGTGAAAGCTCGGTCGCTTCTGCGTCTGCGTCTCGGGAGTTCGGCAGACGGAGCCTCCTTCACTGGCCATGAGTTCGCTTCTTTTCACCTTCCAGGTGTTCGTCTTCCCGTCGTCCACGATCGATAGGGTTTCGGCGCCGTAGTCTACAAGGGCCTTGATTTGCCACAACCAAGGCTTTCCGAGCAAGACTGGCCAGTCTCAGGCGCCTCGGGTCTGGGAAGTGACAGGTTGGAGTATCTGCGGTGTCTGCGGTGTCTGCGAGCCTGCGGTGTTTGCAGTGTTGCGAGTTGATGACTTCATGTTGAACTCCGCTTTGCCGTCTGGAAAATCACAATCAACAACAGCGTTGCGGAACCTCGCTTGTGATTTTGAGACCCGTTCGCAGGCCGAAAGTGGAAATCGGGATGGTCCAATTTCGGGATTACGCCATGTGGGAGCGTAGAGAGTTGCCACGAGATCATGGTCATGCTTGCATCGCAGTTCGTTGTCGCATCCGATGGTACCAGCTGGTCGTACGTGAATCGTATGGGAAGATCGATTGTTTTGATCTTTGACCTCGTCGCGATCTTGTAGCATAACAAGAAGTCAAGTTAGTCGATTGTCGGCTTGTACTGTGTGCGGGCTGCGAGATCACCGGAAGGGTATCGCCAAGGTAAAATTGTCTTTCCTCGGCTAATAGGCATCGTAGTGCGATAAAATGGTAACTTGGCGCCGTCGAGCTCACTCGAAGTCAAAATGGTCCTCCTCTGGTCGTCCGTCTTCGCTTCTGTATACTTGGTCTCTTCTTCCGCCTTGCGTTCTCCTTTCCCTACTCCCATACTTCCTCCTCCTACCACCTTCTTCGGCTCGATGCTAATCCGGTCCCTATCGCCATGTTGTCAGGGAATCATTCGTTGCTTCTCCGCCCCTCCATTCTCAGTTCGTTTCCGGGATCGGTAGGGACCAGGTGAGTCTGCCCTGACCTTTCGAGTAGTGGAAGATCATATCGATTGGACTGCATCCCCCTATCTTCTTCTTCCCATAAATATATATTCTCGTGTGACAGCCTTTCCCATGGCCAAACGTCGATTCCTGCGACGCGGTTGAGTCGAGTTGTAGAAAAGACTGTTGCATATGCGGGCCGCGTCTTGCTTTTATAGATTTCTTAGCTCCTCGAAGGCGAATACGGTGGAGTTTGGAGGATCTGTCATTGGATCTGGCCAGTTGCGAACAGATACAGGCGGTCTCCGCCTTCTTCGCTGGCGGCTGTCTCTAACGCTTCGGTATCGATGAAGCTGAAACCGCCGAGTTTCCGATAACTCCTCGATACTGACATTCCCGATCCCGACGCTGCCACCAAGATCCTTGTGCGCTGAATTAGGTCACCCATTACTAGGGAGACATCTTTGTTGCCGAGTTCTTGTCCAGCTCGCTGGCTGGCGAGTGCGAGGTTTCTTGAGCAGGAGACGTGTACCATCTCTCCGGCTCCACCTTGACGGCCACTGATAAACCGTAGATCCCTCGATCAGAATGGCCTGAGAGGATTGAGCCTGCCTAGTATCGTTCTCTTCGTGATCGAGCAATACCATCGCATCCTGGAGCTTCCTGTGCTAACGTTCGACATTGTCGCCTTCGTGTCTGGATGTCGACATGTGCCATCTCGGGGGATCTCTATTCGCTTCGGGCTAGTTCTTCCAGTTTCCTAGCTAGCTCCGATGGGTCGACTGAATCTAATTCGGGCGAGCCGATGTGGGGAGTGTTGCCGTTGAGGAGTACAGAGTAGATCGAAGATGGGCCGTTCGATATTCCATCCTTGTTTGATGGGGTCCATGTCGGCTGTTAGGGTTCGTTGAGGTCCGCAACCCACAGACCCGACAACCTTGCCAACCGCACAACTCTTTTTTCTTCTATGTCTCTGTTGGACCGTTCGGTTGTACTTCAAGGCGTAAGAGGTTGTGGTCCGAGATCGACTCGTGCACTTTGGTGGTTTTCTACTCAGATGTGGCGGTGATGGCGGTGTAAGTCATTGTGATTCATTGTGATCGCTTGAATCGGTGTACCTACTGTACGCGGCTCTCGAATCTCAACGAATTATGTATGTATAACCGATTATAGGCGGTTCCTCTAGACGATCAGTACAAGACCGCCCCCGGGACGTGGCTCAAACGACCTCCCCGTCTCCGTCTCCCCGTTCTAGGTCCAAGTCGTCGAAAGGATCCGTAACAAAATCCAGACTAGCATCATCATCCTCCACCCAATCCTCCTCCTCCTCCCCCTCCTCGTTCATCCTGAGCGACCGTAACCTCACCCACATCCGTCTCCGTACCCAACCTCCCCATCCGCTCCGCCCGACGTCTGGGCCCCATCCATGTTTCCGGAAGATGTAGTTGTACTCCCACCCGCGCTCGTCGGTCACGCCGTCTTGCCGCATGTTGACTAACCAGGGGGTCAACCATATCCAATGAGAGCTAGGGGGTTGGAAGGTGTGCAAGTCGTACATGGTCGTCATCGATTTCTTGTCGTGTTCGTGCCGCCGGAGCGTATGTTTCAGCTGGGAATACGCATGGGCCTTGTCGTACCGTTGATGATGATGATGATGTTCTCCTTGATCACGCTTGCGGCGATGTAGAGCAAAAGGTCGAGATTTCAAGGTGTTATGCGGTGGAGGGTCGGCCGATGCGCTTCGGTCGGTTGTGGGGAAGGCTCGGACGGGTTTGAGAGCGTGGATAGGGACCGTATAGGCTTTGGGGTCGAAGGGGAAGAGGGTGGACTTGGAAAAGTGTGGGGTGCCCATGAACATGATGCTGCGAGATCCGATATGGCAAAACGGGTCAGCAGGTTTTTTTGTCCCCTTCCCCGACAACATGCATGATACGCACCCTCTCTGGTTCTCGAAGAGGACTGCTCCAAGCAAGATCAACGGAGATCTTCAGCACTGCTAGCTTCACGAAACATCTTGCATACGGAAGTGACTTACCATCCCAGACGTATTCCCTGGTATGACCCTTCTTGAGCTTGCGTACCTCCGCCTTGGCCTGATGCCTCTCCTCGGGTCTCGGTGCGAGCAGGTCGACCATCTGGCCAGAACCCGCATTCCTAGCCTTTGAGATCGGTATGGGCTGCTTCTTATCCACGCTGTGGGCTTGCTCCGGTGTTCCTTCAGGTGACAAGGCGGAAGGTGTCGGCTGCGAGGTGGACCCTTCGGGACGATCATCGTTGGATGGGAAATGAATGTGCTGCGCACGAGGTAGCGGAAGTCCGGGGACGTCCGTATCGAGGGGTTTGGCTGGGTCTGCTTTTCTAACGAGCAGCTTGATAGGTGGTGGAACTTCCACTTCGGCTCTCCTTGACCTTCCTAAACGTCTACGCCTCTTGTCCTCAGAATCCGCTTCCATCACCTCGTCCTCCTCCGAACCCCCTTCGTCTACCCCGTTGCCCGAGTTCCTAGCCAGATCTCCCTGCTTGGAAGACGCTCTCGACCGAGTCTTGCGTAAATGAGATGAGCGGAAGAGGCTGAGAGATATGGAAGATCTGTGTCGGCTGTGATGATGGATGTGACGACGGGAGGACAAGGCTTGATCGATCTGTGCTGCGAGATCTTCATCGCCCGTTGTGGTCGGCGAGAGGACCGGCGAGAGGGCGGCTGACCCTTCCGTCAGGGGCGAGGACATGGTCGAGCTTTCGAGAGGATACGTAGGTCAGGCTGGACGCGGAAGACTAGAATTACCAGGGTATAGCTGACGACAACGAGTGAACCATATCCGTTGAACGAATACATCAGAGGTCGAAGCTGCGACGAGGTTCGTCATACCTCTTCTGTCCATTTTTGCATCCGCGCATCCTGAGTTTTGATTACGTAACGTCGCTTTGCGCTTGGGCAAGAACGCCAGTACGCTTCTATCAGAAACCTGTCGCAAGCTACATTTCCCATCGATTTCGCTGCTTGAACCCCTGACTTGAATTGCTCACTGTACACCTTGGCCGTAAGCGAGACGCCCATCAGGAGCGTGCGGAATGAACCGGCGTCTGGTAGATCTGGGAAGCGTACTCTACTCCTCTTGATCGCCTGCAGCTCCGTTGACTGGTCCCGTAACGGAGAGCATGCTTTTGTTCAAAGATGTTACCAGATGCCCGACGGCTTGGCTCCAGCTTCATACCTTGCAACACTTGTTCTCGACACGGTTCTTCTAGTCAAGACTATTGACCTCAGCTGACAGATCTACGGCCGGTTGTAGCAGCTGTCACGCATCAAGAAGGACAATCCGCAAGGCCGCAAGAGCTCCACCTTGGTCCCCGTCGCAGATACAAAATTCCAAGACAAGAGGACTATGAAAATCCCGGCGTCGACTTCGGTTTCATCCAGACCTCGATACGAAGAAACGGTAACATGTCAGACGATCTGTCAAACTATATATCAAGGACCGGAATCTATACTTAACTCCGGCGAAATCAACAACATACACCTGTTGTTAGCTATGTGCGTACTAACCATCACCGATTTATTCGCTGCCGTCACCCCATTTCATCAGTCGTGCTCGGTGGAATCTCACGAAGTGAATACAGTACTAGGCAGCGCTTTCACAAACGGAGGAGATTGGCGAAATGACGAGTATGGGGCGTACTAGTATATGGATGTGACGAAAGCTTCGTTTGCGTGATGGAAATCTGTTGAGACCGGGTTTGAGGCGCGGGTTGGACCGTGCATCACTTATGATTCATCAGCATCATCATCAAGCGTCATCTTACATGGGGGTAGACTTCCCGACGAGTTTTAATCGTGCGGATTTCATTTAGAAGGAACGAACGTGGAGCAGCATCAGGGAAGTCCGATCCTGCAACGCCACCTCACTCCTTATGTTCTTATCTGATGCCATAATCTAAGGGAACGTCAGGAAAACTCGCTCCCATGGAAGTGAGAGTCTATATCACGATACAGCGACATCCTCAATTGTTCTGCATGTCCTCGATATCATCATCATTTTGACATCAAGCGCGCATGTTGTTGAGCGCGCCACCGTCGGCACTTCTTACATATGTGGCCTACAGTAAGCATATCTGTTTCTTATGAGTGGACAACCCAAATCCGGCCTTCGCAAAGTGATTGTAATGTAACGCTGGCAGACAGTTGTGTTTCAGCCCTGAGATGTTGATGCTCAGAAGGTTAAGCTGGAAGGGTAGAGTCGCGCCAACCAAGTTTCCGCCTAAGGTCGCGTTTCGGTAATGATAATGATTTTATATCGTACATGATGTCGAGTCTCTTGGTGGGGTCAAGGACAAGGTGGAGACGTCACCCTGCTTGGAGTCCTCGAGAGCTCCGATCTGATACAGCGTCAAGAGATCATGGCCAGGCGTTAGTATACCAATGCCAATGCTTGGTTCGGATGTGATATTGTCTTAAGGGGTAGAAGCGATGGAAGAGAACGAGATGAGGTATGGTCACGTGGTGACGACTACTGTAAGGAGACGCACTGAGCTCACGTGCTGTCGTTTGACTCTGCAAGCCTCATGTCTCCAACCGAGCCTGCCGCTTTGAAGACGGGCTGAGGATGCACAGATATAAGATCAGATGCGCAGATGTGAAGGTGTATGCCAGGTGTACTCTACACTTCAATCGAGCGAGTCTTTGCCGTATAGGGAAAAAGCGCCAACCGCTGGACTTGGCGAAGAGTACCGGTCGTGAAGCAGAGATAGGCAACCGAGAATTGACATACATCGATAGAATTGGCATTGACACACCAGGAGTTCTTACCAGACTATACAATTGGATCTGATTGCTTTCGGTCGGTACTCTTTCCCCCTTTCTCTAGACCTCTCCTAGTACCGTTTACAAGTCTTTGAATGGATGAGTCAGGAGAATACCACATTTGGGATGGGAACGGCCGTGCCAGTATTCCCGAGAACGCATACGGTATCTCGATAGGCATCTGAATACCTGGACTAAATCTCGCCTATCTCCCGCTGTTGCTCCTTTTCCTCCTCGGCAGCCAACTGTATGGCCGTCTTGGTCTTGTGGAACCTCCAAGGCTTGATCTTGCGGGCGAACAATTCGTCCAACTCGGCAGAGGTCCTTTTCGATGTCTCCGGCAGGACGAACCAGGCTCCCACGGCGAAGAAGGAACCAACACCGCTATGACGAGGCCAAGGCGATACGTGAGGATCAGCATCGATGCAGTGCAGGGCAGGGCGAGAAGAAAGCGCGAAGCTCACAAGAAGAAGAACCCGGTTTTGAGATTCCAATTCCATTCCGCCTCGTTGACCATGTAAGGAATCAAGATTCCCCAAGTAGCTCCGAAAATAGTAGAGCAAGCGTATGCCCATCCGGCGGTATACTCTCGAAGGCTCTGGGTGGAAGTCTCGGCAAGATATCCGTATGCTGCGGTGGCGGCAGTCTGCAGACCAAGAGCTGTAAAGCAAACCATGAGGAAGAGAGTCAGACTCGCTTTGTTAGGGTTTGCGCGGGCAAGCGCCCTCGACTCACTCCAGATGCAAGTGAATAGTACAAGTAACGCATTGACGACCTTTCCCTTGTCGACAATCCCGAGGATACCGACTAGGAGGCAGGCGATCCACATCAGGCCAAGGCCTATAATGCACACCCAACGTCTTCCGATCTTGTCCGCAAAGATGATGATCGGCACGATCGAACCAAGAGTCACACAGTTGTTGATGATCACGATGATGAACGGATCGTCCACACCCGCTGCAGTGTAGAACACGGACGCATAGGATAAGAATAATCCGAGACCGAGCATCTGGAAACTGAGCGTTGTCCATGTCGAGATGATGAGTCGCAGGAGGTTCGATCCAAGAAAGACGTTGAACCAGTATTCTTTCCGGACCTCGGCGTTTTGGGCCTTTTCATACTCTGCGCTTCTCGAGAGGATATCGTACTGCTTCTCGGCGTTGTAGCCATCGATCTTGCCGTTCAATCGAGTAAGGATGGCAATTCCACGGTCCCGCTTGCCCTTTTGAGCGCACCAAACTGCTCGAACTGGCAACATCAGCCCCACGGTCGTGATGGACCCGAATGCCAAGAAAGATTCGACTTGCCTGGCGATTCGGGAGCGAAAAAGAAGACGACCCCGATTACTCCGATTGTGGCCCACTGTAGGTACGATCCCGCTGTTCAGCCATGATCACGACCTTAGCGGCAACGCTCTCACTGGCTTACCTGGGTATAGATGGGCAACTTCCAGTCTCTCTCCATGCCGCTTTCCTTGAGGCACTGAAACACGATGGGAGGGAAAAAGTTCCCCAGTTGGAACCTGCAATTTAAAAGGTCAGGCCGAGAGGCGTGTATCAAGACTTGAATCGGGACTTGCCAAAAGTTATAAAAAGATATCAAGGAACCTCTGATCTTGGTCGGGGCCAGTTCACAGACGTACATAGGGACCACCGTCTCTGCAATCATTGAAAGCACCTGCGTCTCGTCAGAAGGTCTGCGCGTATGAACAACATTCTGGCATGGCTCACTCACGAAGTGCTCCGACAGACATCCCTGTGAAGATCTTACTCGCAGCCCAAACCGCATCCTTGGTCGCAATGGTCTGCATCGTGATGGCAATAGTGGCGAGCAACCAAATGAGGAACAAGGACCACTTGCGTCCGAACCATGAGGAGATGCTGTGTACCGCCATCGATCGAACAAGCGCTGAAGATCAGCGCGTGGGCTTTATAGTCGCGAAGCATCTCAGGCCTTACAAAGGGAATCCGACCTGGCCCAAGACTTGACCGGTAGTACTGATAGGAGTCCAGACCGCCAACTGACTTGCAGATAGGATTCGTTCGCCGTCGACGGGGTTAACCTGGCTTCCGATGGCATGATTGAAACCGGGGTTGGCGTTGATATTGTTCGCCATTCCGATCTGTATGCGCGAGCGGTGGTGAGGTCCGATTACAGCATGCTCAAAGATCCTTGTAGGTCTTTACGTACCTCGTATCCCTCGGCACAAGCCGAAAAAGTGACGGCAAAGCATATCAAGCTGGTCTTCTTGAACTTCATCAAGGTTTGAAACAGGGTCAAATCCTCGTATCCGGTGAGTTCCTGACCGCGCATATCGATACCGGCGGTGGCGGCGGCGTCAGAAGGCTTGTGCTCATGCTCAAGCATCTCGACCTCATGTTTGTCGTCCGAGTGGACAAGGCCGTCAGCCTTGCCAATGTCTTCGATGGTGGAGGTATTCATCTTTGGAATCTAGACCACTGTTGTTAGGTTGTCGTTGATGATGGCGGCAGGAGTGATGAAGGAATGATCGTCTTCGCCTGGGCTTTATGTGTGAATCCCGGGGTCCCCTCTCACCCCGCGGGGATGGCCCTTGACCAGTTGTATCCCCCGCAAGAACCCGAGTGGGATGAAAGGGGAGATGGTCCATCTGTACGCCGTCCCTCTCAAACGTACAACCCGCAGCACTGTCCGCGCTTCTTTCCCCGTCGGCACATCCGCCCCGCGCTGCCCCTGCGCCGTGCGGAGTCGCAATCGACCGACATCGTAACAGACCTGCAGTCCTGATCACATTCAGTTCTGGGTATCACTACGGATATACGGTTAACTAGGAATCGGGCCGTTGCTTGCAGTTCGGAACCGGATCCGGCGAAAGGCTTGGCTCGCATGTCTTTGATTTGCAGAATCGTCTGCCATCAGACTCGGTCGATCATTCAAGCGCGACCTACTCGCAGTTTCCGATGCGGACCATTCTGATTACCCTTCGCTTATGCCTCTCCTGTAGGACGACGGTCTTTCCCGTCTCGGAATCCTGGTCCCCAGCGGGGACGAAAGAGCGGGAGAGCTGTGGGGCGGGCGACAAAGTTCGAGGCGGACACACACTCACTCACTCTCGACATCAGCGCTTGAGAGCGCGGATGCTGAACAGCCGTCTACAAGCTGAACTCTAGTTGAGACTTTGTTGTACGGCTGATGTACCTCTTATTGAAGACGTCTCGGACAGAGGCAAGTGCAGATGGGATCTCCACATTTCCAACGCTACCCTCTACCAGTTTGCCGGTCGATCACCCTGTCGCACATCATAATAAAGCCCCTACCTAGGTCGGGCGGTGATCTTGGATCCCGCCAACTGTCAACGTCCATGATATGCGTATTCGATTCGGTCACATCGGTGACGCCGGCTTTACAACTCGTCATTCTCCGTAAAACTCGCAAAACTGAATGAAGCAGGCTGCAAACACGATGTGCTCCCCCATCCTTGAGCGTATATCCCCAAGTGTGTGCCCGTAAATACCGACTCTCGTGCCGATTGTTCCATCAAAACCCGCATGGGCAACATGCCAACCTCGGTCCATGATGCATCCTTTGCGACCTTGAAAGAGAACGTGTAGCTTTCAGGTTTCGCTTCGATCCGAAACTGTACAGCTTCTAGCCCGTCCAGGTCATGGCGCTTTTCCTGCAAGGATTGTTAGCAATCGTTTACGTTCATGTTCGCCACGCAAACAACGACTAACCTTTCGCTCGCTGGTGTCCGGATCGACCCACCGAAGAAATACATACCTGCCCACCTCAGGGTGGTCCGACTTTCTGATGCCTATCGCCATGAATGCGTACATACTATAGTACACAGTGGTACCCGCCTCGTCACCATGCTGTGAAGGACAAAAGTCGAGCTCGGTGATCCACGTGCCAGAGAATGCAGTCTGTTTCCGAAACAGAGCCGTCGGACATTCTTGCTTGTCGATGGTGTAGGGATTACCGAACAAAGTCAGCCATCCAGGTCGATGAGTAAGGCTCCAATCTTGTTTCAAAGGTGTGCGGATGTGATACCAGCCTAGAGAAAGGGTCTCTGTATGCAAAAAATACATAAAGTCAGGAGAGTAGGGCTGACCTGCGAGCCGTGGCGCCGTCATACCTTTGTCAAAATCGTCCCGCCATTCTCGCTCAAGTCGCTGATCCGCCATCGACCGTCCCAATGTCAAACCCTTCGTCGACACGGGCTTGTTGTCGTTGAGCACAGGCCAACCTCCCGTGGGCCACTCGATGGGCACTAAGAAGGTTTCCCTTCCCAACTGGCTTCCCCGCAGCTTGCCATCCGGGCCGGTCTGCGGCCGGACAGCTAGCATCACACCCCACCACCCACCCTCGGTGTCCTGGACCACGTCCATATGCCCGGTCGCCCGGACGTGCATATCTTGGTCATTGAACACGATCGGATTGTGGTCTCCAGGCGCGTAGGGTCCTAATGGAGACTTGCTGCGAGACACCCACTCCTGATGGCCATCGAAAGTGCCGTTATCGGCAGTGAAAAGGTAATACCATCCATCCTTTTTGACGATGTGAGAGCCTTCCGCAGAAATCACTCCCGGTAGAGGTCTACGTAAGAGGACCGGTCGCGTAAGGTTGCGTCCGGTATCAAGATCGATCTCGCTGGCATATACGGCCATGTATTCGAAGGGATCCCCGTTGAAGGGAGTCTTGAAGGTGGTCGACAAGTAGACTTTGCCATCATCGTCAAAGAAGAGCTGTGAGGGCCACCGGTTCCAAATCAGAACGAGCGAGCTATCGGATCAGAAATGGAACTCACGTCCTGATCGAATCCCAGAGTATCGAAATAAACTGGCTCGCTCCATCGCGCCTCCTGAAATATATCGTCCGTCCAGACGTAGAAACCACGCGGTTCGACATGTTCGTCGGGCTATACAGACGCGCCAGAGTGTCAGCACAAACATCTCGAATCCCGCACAATGTCATCCGAGGACTCGTACCCTGCCCCATGCCAGGTTATGCACGACCGAAGTCGTCATGTAAAAGCGCTTGCGCTTCTCGTGGTATCGTAGGGTAGGAGCGAAAATCCCACCTGACGGCTCGGTAGTCCTCATGTCTAGTTGCGAAGGCCTCGACAGCGCGTGGCCGATCAAGGTCCAGTTGACAAGATCGACTGAATGGTAAATCGGTACGCCGGGAAAGTACTCGAACGTCGAGGTCGCCACGAAATAATCCTTTCCTACCCTGACGATGGAAGGATCGGGATTGAACCCGGGAATGATCGGATTTCGGTAAGTCTTTGGTGACATGATGATGATGCGCGCGATCGCTTATGCGGTGTTGCTCAAGAGGCTCGTATGTTCAGACGGGACATTGACGTCGGTTTATACGTCTTGTACCCCTCGGATAAAAGATGCGACGTTGTAGCGATTTTGCCCACAGAGAACGACCGGAATAATAATGCAGCGAGCGTCGGCGGGTAACGCTAACACGTTCCGATGCCGCGGGGAGTTCCCGGCGGCTTGCTTCACACCACGTTGTCTTGAGTCAGCGGGTTCTGTGTGACCGAGACGGCGAGCCGAACCTCTTCTGAAAAGGGACATCTCGACACTTCAGTCATGGCCATGAGACACATGATGGCCTTACGTTTTGTCGCCTGTTTGGCTACATCGCATTGCGCATTGCGCTTCTACCTAGCAACTGAATGTTTCATATAAAATCAGGCGCGCGCGTCAGAACAAGCCGGGTCTTAGAAGCGCATACTGACAGTATCCATTCTATCCCTAGTCATTTCTATACTACTTCAGTCAGATTGACGCCATCTCCATATTCCCAACATTATCATGGCTAGCACTTCTGCGTTCTCTGGGTATCATCGCTCTCAATACTCTCGGTACCATCATCGATTAGTAAATCGCTAGCGCGCTCGTACACCGTTTCAGCTTGAGTGGCGTCGCCACGTAAGCGCTGATCTACTGTAAGCGCGACGGTCCAGATGAACGCAGAAGCTCGCTCCTCGCCAACAAGTGAATTACCTTCACAACTTCAGGTTCGATATCCCTCTTCCATCTGATTCGTCACCCTTCTTTATCCTCAGTATCATTGCTGGCAAACCAGCCGTATACTTATAGATCGTCACTACATTTACCTCTTCGAACATGCTGCACGGTTCATCTCTTCTGCCCGGAGACGAGTGAGCTTGAACCGGTCATTGCTACCCTGAACGTCCTGATCTTACCAGCCTGATGAGATCGGCAGCCCCGTTGGTAGATCTCTAGAAAGGACCCCCTGTATCGGTTATGGAAGAGTATGAGAGTGGATGGTCCATTGAATCCGTCAAGTACGAGGACTAGATGAGTCTATAGCATTTACTGGACTGGATCCAGGACAAGGCAAATTTGATCCGGGACGAGCTATAGCAAGCAGTAAGAAAGTCAGACAGATCGGCTACTTGGATGAAGACGCCCAGCTATGTAGGCCTTGAAGGACCCTTCGATTTCAGTCAGTCCGTGCAGAGGTCTCACGAGCAGATCAGGACCGAACTTCGAGCCAAGATGGCCGAGATAATCGACTGTCGGAGCAGGCGCGAAGATTGCTGGAAAGTGACACCGGTGAAGGGCAAGCGTTAAATATCTCCGCCATCTATCCATCTCCCGAGCCTACTCGTACAGACCCACACAAGCATGAGTTAGTCGCTCCCGAAACGGAAATAGCCACCGCCGAAACGTGACTTGTGGACGAAATCCGACCTCCTTCCATAGTATCCAAACTCCTGTCGATAAAGAGGCTCTGATCACCAGGTCGATATCTTCAAGACTCGCTCGAGGCTGTACAAGTCCGGCAGATGAATAATGGATTCGCCTCGGCCTTGTGCGCGATCTTGAGTCTCGGATAGCATCGTCAATGATCCTGGACTCGGGGTTGGCACTTGTCAGGACTGTACGCCTGGAGCCTTCGCAACAGGGGACTTCTCACCTGCATCAATAGTGCGAGCGGCCTTGGTCCTCTTATGAATAGGCTCTTGGGCACAGGGTGAGTTGGATCCGCTGTCGTTTTCGGTCTATCTCCTTCTCCTACCTTTTTGACTTCGTTATCGATGGGGCGGACGAAAGCTGATCCAAGCCCAGTCTGGTTTCGCTTGGCTATGGTTCGCCTCGTTTTACCTTGCTCCATTCCCACCCCGATGCATATCGCGGTCGTTATCAATCAGCCCATATACCTCCAAGATCGACCTTGAGCCCTCTCACCGCATTCGATTCGTCTTCTCCATCAGTTCATCGCCGTGCTTTCCCTCCTCGGGTCTTGCTGAGCTTACGGGTGGAGCGACCGGATCCGCAATGCCAAGATCCATGAACAGAACATCCACTGCGGACAGGCGCATCGATCTTAGGTGAATACGATACGACAGACAGGTGGATACGAACATGGCGAGGGAGGGAGCAAAGACCCTCCCGACTAAGCTTTGACGAGGGATGTTATTGAAACGCAGAAGCAAAAGAGGGATAATGAGAGGTAGGGGGCGACCTGTGTGAGTCGGTTGTGCCGTTCCAATTTCATTCCTACTTCTCCCTTGATGTCTGTATCTCGCCCTATACTCCGCTGTAGATTCGTTCTGGTCTACGGACGTCGATCTCCTTCGATTCGACTTGGTTCTTGCCTTTTTCTGCTCGACGCGCTTGGCAGCTTCTGTTCGTGCCACTTTCATAGCGACTGACAGTTTCGACCTTTCGGATGTTGTCATAGGCACACTTGACCGTCCGGTTGAGGTTCCAGAAGTGTATCAAGACCTCAGCGATAAATCTCATGATGGACTCGAGGGAAAGCGGTAGACTCCGCCGTTCATCGATCAAGACCAGGCGGAGCGGCGCAGGCTGGATACTTGGCCCTAGAATCACCCCGCGCCACTTCTGTTGAATCTGATGATCTGGCATCCGAAGAAAGCTCGTCAGAGCCAACCATTAAGCCGACGATACTAAAAGGTCGGTGATAGACTATCGAGTCTGCGGCCATCCCTATGTAGCTCGTCGTACTGCGGTAGGAGAACGCTCGACTCGGATTCAATGACAACGAATACATGTATATAGCATCGATATTGTTCCGTTCGGAATGATCACAGGTTCCGACCGACCCTTTTAGCTGCCGTCTTTTCATCGCTCACTGTTGAGAATGAAACTCACAGGAATGTCCCGCGAGACGAACGGATCGATCGCCTCGCATTGATTCCTTCCCTCGTAGTCTGTTGTACCCAGCCTTTGGGACTCTAGCTTACATCGGCTCGCGGCATACGCACCATGAATCAGAATATTATATGATTCTCTACGTTTACATTCCCGTCTGTCTGTCTTGTCGAAAATCGAAGGATTGGATTGCCGATAAACCGGACGACCGGAAAGAAGAGGGAAAGCAAGCGTTGACCGCGATCGCAGAAGTCGGATGATAGGCAACAGTCCTCCTGCCTGTGCCACTTTCTCTGATCCAACTCGGCTACCCTTCAATGCGGTCGACCAAGCCGTTTGAAGTCCGCTTCAACCACGCAAGAATCCACCGGGTATCAATGTCATCTCATATACAGTCTTTTCATTATAAGTAGCCAACAAAGCGTACATCCTGCAGTCATTTCACTCAAAATACGCCTACTCCCACCGTCAAAGACCGGGTAGTCCTCTTTCATCCCGTCCGGTCACCACGACCCCTCTTCCATCTTCAGTCAATCCTCACCGCTGTACCATCTCTCGCTCCATATCCAGCCCTGACTCTCCGCACCCGTCATCCTTCCCACCCCACCCGCTCCGAATTGTCAATCTTCCCCGATGGTCTGCCACCGAATCACCCATCATCTTCTTCAGCACCTTCCATCCGAGAACCCGAAAACTCTCCTAAGAACCCGAACTCGAGTGAAGTCCCATCGATCCGAAGTTCAGGCAAGACCGGCGGACGAACCGAAGTCTTTCTCGGTGGGGTCGGGGTCGCTAGTACTTGCAACTGAACACCGGCGAGCGAGCTGAACGGGGTTTGGTCGATAAGCAGTTCAGGGAGGATGGGTGGGAGAAGAGAAGTCCTTGATGTAGATATGGACGTGGATGTGGTCGGTTGTAAGGGTGGAAATGAAAATGGAGCATCCGCGAGCGGTGGATTGTGATCGTGAACCTGCGAGTTCGGGAGGTCGAGAGTGCCGATGGTGGTGGTGATAGATGTCGTAGTGGTCGAAGTACTAGCGGTAGTAGCGGTCGCGGTCTGGCGGTAGGATTGAGGTTGCAGCGGTACGAGATAACCGAAAGTGGAGTGGTCGACCAGACAAAACAAGACAAGACAAGACGATATATCAGCAACAGCTCTGACGCTCGACTTCATCACAAACGAAAAAGAAAAGCCTGCCGATATGCTCACCTGTGGATCCTGATCGATCCGAAGAGTCAACCTTCTTCCGATTCCCGAGTCTACCTTCGATCCCACATCTCCCGCCGAGTCTGACAGCTCGACCGGCTTCTCCTTCTCCTCTATTTTGACCTCCTCTTCCCCGTCCTTCTTCACCTCCTTTACTCCCACCATCACCACCACCTCTTCCCCCGCTTTCACCTCCTTCTCGTCCATCTCCACCTTTTCCTTCTCCTCCTCGTCTCCCTGAACCTCAAACCCATGACATCCCCTTTGTCCTCGTTCGTACCTCTTCCTTCGGACGATATTCAACGGCCTCAGCGATCGTTCCCCTTCGTACCCCTTCTTTCGGACGATATTCAGCGGCCTGAGCGATCGTTCCCCTTCGTACCCCTTCTTCCTGACGATATTCAACGGCCTGAGCGGCAAATCTTTATCCACATCCACATTGACGTTACCGTGGAGAGGCGTATAAGTATAAGGATAAGGATGGTAAGGATAAGGATGGTCGGGATTGATATCGATAGGTACCCAAAGACTAGCATTCGGGGTCTCGGGAGGTGGAGGGAAAGATAGGGTTGAGCCGTAACCGGGAAGGTAGTCGATTGGGAGTAGACTATTGCTGTTATTATCACTATTATTACTGAGGGAGGTGGACGGAGGTGGAGGTGGGGTTCGAGTGAGAGTTTGAGTATGAGTCGGAGGTCGAGATCGAGATCGAGTTTGACTTCGGATATCTCGTCGCGGGGAAGCACGGGATTGTGGTCGTCCTCCTAGACGTCGGCCCGGGGACGTCGAAGTAAGAGGCCGAGAACGAGTGGGTGTAGGTGTGTCCCGTAACCATTCCACTCCCGATCCTCCCGCTCTCCCCGACCTCAAGTCCAAGTCCACCCCTAAGTCTAAGTCCAAGCCGACGTATCTACCCGGCCGAGTCAAGTTCTCGTAAACCGCAGCGGTGGAAGGTAGGTCTTTCAGAAAGTCAGGCGTAGGAGATTTAGGTATAGATCGAGATCGAGATTGAGATCTGGGTTTAGGTTTGTTGAGGAGTCCGACAGCGAGATTATGGTCTTTAGATGTAGACGTAGATGACCATAGCTTTGATAATCGGGGCCGTTTTTGTACCGGGGTTCTGTTATCATCATCTTCCTCCGAGGTGGAGTTGTTGTGGGTAGATGCAGATGAAGATGTCGTCGTAGCCGGAGGAATAGTAGGACGAGGTTCCAGCTGATGGTACGGCGATATCGAGGTCGACCTCCTTTGACTTTGGATTTGGAGGAACAATTGGCATCCTTTCTCGGCTAGATCGCTGAGCCTCCGTTTGAGTCGTCTCGCTGGCGGAGGCGAAGAAGTCGTGTCTGCCATGGCGCTATAAGGGATGACTTGACAGCAGGGTGGTCGAAGTCGATGTGATGTGACGGCGGCAATTTGAGCAAAAAGGAGAGAGGAGAGGAATTTCGAGCAACGAGAACAACAAACAACCAGCCGGAGATGGCCGCTGCGGTGACGACGCGGAAGCAAATAGGGGACGGATGATATTTGCTTCCGCGGGTACCCTTAGGGGGTGTGTTCAGCTCGAAGACACGTAGACGACGAGCAGCAAGTGTGAAGGGTCGAGCACACACAGGCACAAGCTCGTTGGATCTAGATCTGTAGGGAATACACTTCGATTGCACCTGACAACAGACAGTCTGGCAGAATCGATAGGATCGTTCCCGAGCAGCACTCGTCCGCCGATCACGATAGCACGATCACGTTGAAGACCTCAGTAACCGAAGGAATCACTGGCGACGTAGGAGAAGAGAAGGGGAAAAGACAATGGTCTGTAGAACTCAGTAATAGCAAGAGTGATCGAATGGGCGTGGACTTTGGGTGGATGGTCAGTATAGTCTCTCTACACACTTTACTTGTCTACGCTGGTCCCGATTTGAATCTGACGAGAGGCTCTCTCTTTGACGTTCGTTCCCACTTGCACCAACTCCCAGAAGTCAAAGAAACTTCTCAATCCCAACCCCGTATCGCGCCGAACAGACTACATACTACAATACATCATCTTCAAGCTACGTCTTTCGAGATCCAGATCATCCGGAACTACCTACATCGATAAAGGGATCACCAGCGATGCGATCAAGAATCACCTTTCGCTTCTCCGTCCGTTCCGCGTTCGGCCAAAGCAGGGACGAAGGGTATGGGGATGGGTTGTCGGTTTTACCTACTGGAAAGGGAAGGAAATGGATGGGTGCGATGAGCGGAGTAGAGTGGCTTACATTGCATAAAAGGCAAGGTAAGGTGAGTTTCTTCTTCCTTTCTTTGAGAGCGATTCACGGTCCGGGGTAGGTTAGGTTAGAGGCTCGTAAGCTGATTCTTCTTCTTCGTAGTACCTTTTCTCTTTCCCTTTCCCGTGCCCTCAAACTCGCAGGTCACCTCACCTTCACCTAACCTCATCGAGACCCGCCAAATGATGTCGTACTGTATCAAGAAAGAACTATTGTGTGAGTCCGGCTAATCTCGTCGAAGGTTCATCTGGCTTATCAGCCTGTCCTTACTGTACCGATGTCACAACACAGCACATTACAGCTCTTCCTTTCGAACGCAGTACGTATACGTATACCGCTTGCACCGACGAGGGTTTTCTTCCGGACCTTCTAAGGGCTGATTCCCTTCTTGTGTTTACAGTAGGGCCGACAATACAATCACACTGTAGAGGAAAAGACACTCGTCCACTTGTCCGACAACACAGTACAGTCCCTTTCGACCCAGATCAAGGCGATCCGATCCGAGCGGGAGGCGAATCGGGTTCTCGGACTTTTTCTTTGGCGAATCGTGAAAGATCGAAGGCTGGATCGTTGGCTGGATCGGATCGTTGGGTTTGGGTGAGTCCATCTCGATTCAAAGACTGTTAGTGAGTACCTTACACTTACAGTACGTTTGCAGTATGTTGACTCGTCACCTTCTTTCAACCGGACCGAACCAGAATCAGGCCGAGATCGAGAAGCCCTGTAATGTCACCCAGAGTCCCATCCTCTTCGATTACTTAGGGGTTCGGCTGAAAGCGAAGGTTCGCCTGGAGTCGACTCAGGATCTAAATGTGATGTGAGCTCCTCGTCTCTCTTCTCTGGTAGTCGGACTTGTTCAATCAGCTCAGCGGCTGATATACCTTTTCCACTCGACATTGAATCAGCTTAAAGACCCTGGACGGTTATCGTTTCGTGAGTGATTCAGTTCGTGTTTGTCGACCTTTTTGTTGCTGATTGAATCGTACTCAATGGAACCGAAGTGAGATACCGTAGATACTACTTCGTCAACTGAAGTACTGGCTACTGAACAGGTGAGCGTTGGAAAGGTGATCCGTCAGTGAGCAACCAGCCTGGGCGGTATCACCCCTTCACCATAGTCTGACCCATTACAATCATTTATCTACAGGCCACTAACTCGGACACCGATTTGTGACATCCGAACCCCTCATCAGATGCCTCCTCGTCGGTTCCTACCAATGTCTTGGGGGGATATCCTCGACTATCCGTGCAGGACCACGCAGGCGATCCTTGATATCGCAATCGATCGGGGTGAGTCTTTTTCCCCCCCCACTTTGCCGCGACATGCACCCGAGGCGCTGACCGGACTCTCCACCCCGATCTCTTTCTTTTCAGGCCCTGTAAGCTCGGACACAAGCTGGCAGACTTCGGCTAGCCACGTCCATCTCACAAAGATGTCACCGCTCTCGCACTGGAATGTCAACATCCGGAGGTACCAGTTCGCCCCGAAGAGACTGAGACGTCGAACGACCCATCAAGTAAGCTCTACGGTCTTCGTAAGGCAGACTCGGACCCGTACGTCATGGTGTATACGGACATCGAGCTGAATCCCATTTCGGCTTGACCTCAGGTTCTCCGAGCGATGGGATCGAGCGTCAAAGCGACTACAAGGTCATTGCGTCCAGGTATGACTTGTCCACTCGTATCGCTGGAGAAATTTACCATTGACACCTATCACGACCTCTGGACCTGCCAGATCCGTCTGTCGTCTTCGACATCGAACTACGCACTCGAACACGCCAGCTCGTGCAGCGCCGGATCCTGCACACCCGTCACTATCGTTATCGCAACAGCACTTTCATCCTCCTCCTTTCACTCAACCCGATGTCAGAACAACAACCACAGCCGAGCAAGAAGAGCAAAGTGGGGAGGGGAAGAAAGGTCAAGAAGGAGGATGGGAAGAACCAAGGAAATGGTGGTACAGAGTCGCAGCTCGAAGTGAACGTCATCATTGACGGGAATGCGCACAAAGGGAACGAGGAGATCGACGTGATCGATGCGATGAGGCTGGTGAGTTCTTTTACATTGTCCTCCGCTTCCTCTGTCTCTTCGCGTCTTGTACTGTCTTGGCACATCCGAAGAGCTGATGATGCCCACGGCTCTGACCTTGCAGGACGTTGACCTCGACGTCGTCGGCGGCCTCGCATATGAGGGACCCTCTTCGTCTCGCCAGGATCAGCAAATGCGTCATCAAGCACGGCGGTGATGTCAGAACTGGCGCTGCTGGCCGTATCGTCCTGAAACCTTCGTGGATGAAAGCGGCCAAAGATCAAGGTCAAGCATGTTGAAGCTCTTGTAGGCCACTTCTCGCAGAAGGCCAACGACAGTGAGTTTGATTGCGGTCCGGGATTTGTACTTCGGTCGGGTCGTGTGCAGATACTCGGTGCTGATGCTTTGGTCTCTCGGACGTTCGCTGCAGCAGAACCCACCGGCGAACGCTTGCAGTGTAACCTCCGCAACTGCAAGTGCTTCATCGTGCTCGATTCGCCCCAGTCCCAATCCAACAGAAAGAAGAGGAACAATCAGATATCGGCAGGCTGGCCAGGCGGACAGGATTCGACAAGGTCAACATCACCAACGTTGCTCAACGTCCTATCAGGGCGATCTCAGGCCAAGAATTGAATCTGCTCGACCATGGTCCTGCGAAGCGAGTCGCCCCATTGAAGAAGTAGTGTAGTCATAGCCCAAGCCTCGATGTCGCCATGCTTCTCCGTCAGAGCATTCTTTCTATGTTCTCGACGTTGCGATGCTTTTCCGTCAAAGCATGTCTTCATGTTATCATTAACCTTTGTCGATTCTTCGTTGCCATGGAGCAGAGATGTTCCATTCGGTGTCTAGCACTTTCATGTAGTATGATCCCGGTCCGGTCGTCTTGCACACATGTGGGCATGTCAAATCCTCAAGGGAACAGTCGCATATCGTCCACAAAACGAGCTCATTGAATACGGCATCAATCATATGTCAGTACAAAAAGGTAAGGCAGCCTGGTCCGGTTACCTGGAAACAGAGAATCGTCCCAAGATTCGTCCCAGCCGCCGATCAATCGGAGCTATCGTCTATCAAGGTTGCGAGGTTTATGAAAGGCAAACTCGCACTCGAGCCGACGAACGCCGCCCTGGCCTTCATGTCACCGGGTGAACGGATCGATGGTCGAATTCAGGTCAAGAGCTGGATGTTCGATCGTCATTGTCTTGTCAAGTCCTCCTTGTGCATCTTATTGATGGTGGGGTTGTCCGTGAGCGGAGATTGGCGGTGTCGACCGGCTCGATTTCGTCGATGACGAGCAATTATTGCAGGTTCCCGTCCGCAGAAACGTCGGATTCAGTAGAGGATTGAAGCTGGCCTGGTGCGACTTTATCCAATGTGGTCTTCTGAACGGTATCCTCGATCTCGGAAGTATCCGGCTCAACGAATTAAGGCGACGGTTAAGAGTCGACTAGTCCGAGCGGATCTGGGAGACAAGCTTTTCAGGCGGCTGACTCGTTGTGACAACCATAATCGGGGAACTCACAGCCTGTATTCTTCTGCAATGTGCTGCTCCTTGTAGGTGTCCCACTTGATCTGCTCTCGCGCAGCTCGTTCTCGCTCGACCTGTTGTCGCTCCGCCTATTCTCGCTCTCGTTGCAATGTCATCGCCTCCCGGACACACCATCGTTCTTGCCCGAGATACCGAGAAAGGTATCCTCAACGGTAACTTCAACAGCAGCGGGGTCGTCCAGACGGCCTTCAGCATCTCGCTTGCACGCTTTCCCCTTGCGATGCAGCTTGATCGAGCGAGATCCCGCTTCCACAATGTTCGCCGTCCTCGTGCCTTCCTTTCGCATTTCCGGCTCGACTTCTGGTTCTTGCTGTGAGTCCATGCTGAGCGAGCTCGAAGCGTTGGCAGGGACGGCGAGCAGGTAGATATTCTTGGGTGGCAATCTAGGCAGTTGCTGCGAAGGTGGTGTTATTGATGTATCATTTAGTGAGGAAAGTCGGTCCGCCTTTGCGAGGGCAAATCCGAAGGAAGTTTCGGAATCTCATCTTCCAGACGCTACGCAAGAGTACGCTCACAGAAGAATGCGGAGAGGATCTTACCGGCAAGATGATGAACGAGCTCGTCGAAGCACTTTTGAGGGCCGAGGGTTTCCCTGTGTTTTCAGAACCGTCCCCATCCTGTTCATTCTCACCACCTCCGCTCGAAATCCGTACGCCCGGAACTTCCAAACTCTCCCGCATGTTGACGCCGCAAACCTTCCGACCGCTCAAACGAATCGTGTACGGAGATCGATGCTCTCCCGCCGTCAGTGCCACTGCTGCTAATGCCGTTGCTAGTCCGTCTGCTGCCAAGCATGTTCCCGGATACCTGACCGTGATTCAGCTTTACGGTATGTTCGATAGCCTGCATTGCGACTAGTCCGGGGAGGCTCACAAAGGACGTTCCGTTATGCTGCAGAGTGTCATTAATCTTGGCGTGATATCTGGCATGTAGATGCCTTGGTGCAGCAAGCCTAGCAATGAAACTAGCGATGCGACCAGTCGCTGCTGCGTCTGCATGCCCACCAGTCACTTAGTGACCTGATCTTCGCTTCTGAGAAGAGCCTTTTCTTTGCGACGGAGCTGACTACATATCTAGGAAGACAATAGCATATCATAAGTTTCATTGCGGATCAACGGACAGATGCAAAGAAGGAATGACAATAAGGTTGCTCGAACAGACTCACCTTACTGGCCACTTGGAGGTCGTCTCGCCTGGGAGGAATATTGGTCCGACGACATGCTCTGGGTCGGAATGTACTCGACATATCATGCAATGTCGCATACTAACGGATATGCGTGGTGGGCGATGGCGATTCTACAACGCTGCCCTGTATCTATCGCTTGATCTTGTTCTTGACCGGGACGGTTCCCCATGAGACTGGTGCTGTGCGTTGAGACCTTGTTGAGCGATGATGATCTTCATGAGGCTGGAATGGAAAAGGCCGATTGTTTTCTTGGCCTATATATCTGCAGGGACATAACGGCATCGGTTGGTTCAGCTCGTGGATCGGGCCTCGACAAAGAACCGCGAGCACGAATAAACTCACTCGATCGTTCCCTTCGCTGTCCTCGTATGCAAGGCGCATAACTGCTTTTGTAGTCTCTGCGGCCCTCTTCAACATCTAGCTCATCCACCTCCGCGCTTCAGCTTGATCTCCGGTCACGTAGGCGGGAAGGACATGGCGCGAGAGTCAATTCTCGCAATGTCTGAGCCAGTCCTCCGAGTCGATTTCAGACACATCTCAGTCGATGACATCACCTTGGGCGTCGATAGCAGAGCTACCGACGTCTTGTTTAACTTCCTCGTCTATAAATTCGCCTCGATACTGGCGCTAAACGCGAGAAGGACCGAGCGCATCGGTATCGAAGACGTCCTCGTCGAACGCAGTCTCTTTCTCTCAAATATAGAGCTGGCCTCCGCTCTGAAGTTGCCTACCGGGGGCAGCGGAACGAGTTGGATGACGATCCGGATCGCTGTTGTCGTTGCTGTTGTTGCTGATATTGGGTCCGCTGTGGTTGAGATATCCATTGCCCGAGCTAACCCTCGGAAGCGAGAACGGTCTAAGATGAGAAGTTGATAATCCGGACGACTTGCCGGTATGTCGGCTGTTCAGAGAGTTGGATAGAAGGCTGGTGTACGGGTAGGGGTGACGATCGATGTGTTTTTCGGAGGTAGGCAAGCTGGGCGAGATTCCGGAATGGTGGTATCGCCAGCTGTTACGCCGCTGCCGACAACAGGCAGGTTTGCTGGTCGTACACAACACCACCAGGCGCTCGAGAGTCGTCGTAGACTGAAGTCATGGTGACGTCGATGTCCAACGATACGACCACTCCTTGGTAGCGAGGGTGGTGTTCTGGTAATGATTCTTTTCTCCCCCAGAAGCGTCCAATCTCCCCCAGAAGCGTCCAATCTCCCCCGAAGCGTCCAACCCGCCGTCCCCGTTCATCCCGTCATCGCCCGCTCGACCATTGAGGCGATAGGTGATGTTACTGCCGTACGGAAATTGAGGAGAATGCCCGCCCGGGAACGAAGATAGTCGCTTTCGTTCGAAAGGCTGGTCGAAGTTGGGACCACTCCCGCTGCAACGGATCGTCCCGGCTATACCTTGTCCACCAGAACTATCGCCTCAACCACTAATCCCTCCGTTCCCGCTCATCGTCATTCCCGGCTCGTAGGAGTGCGTCCCGCCGTTGCTCATGTCCCCGCCGTCACCGCTTGACCTTGACCAGACCAGATGCCAACGCTTGCCTGCTGGAGACAACGGTACCTCCTGCTCTTGCTCCTTCAACGTTCGACAATACCGCACCTGTGTCCGAACTCAGATCCGGACCAGACTCTTCTCCAGCACTAGCCGAGGAAGCGTTGACGTCGTTGCTACGCTTTGCAACCGCAAACTGAAACGGAGTCACCGTCTGCTGCGGTTGATGACGTTGGTGAGGAGGAAGAGGATGAGGACGATCTGATTGTTACCGTTGCTGTTGGTGCTGCTGTTGCTATCGCTGAGCCGGGAGGGTGCTCGTTATCGAGCTGAAGATGCTGGAACTGGCAACGGCTTTTTGCTCAAGCGTGTTGAGGTTGAAACGGAGAGCACGAGCAGACGACTCGGCCTAGCTCCGGTGACGATACCAGCAGGTCGGTCTACTCTTCTTCGATCCTTGCGATCGACGACGAACGGCACGAGGTTGACCTATATCCTATATCCTATCTCTCATGCCGGCCTTGGTGCCGAGCAATGCCAAGCATATCGTGCACCCAGCTCCATTGCAAAATCGGGTGTTTGAATTCGAGCAGGGCGTGATAGGCGGCGTCGTATCGAGTATCAAGATAAAGCCATGTTGAAGTGACACATAAAGTCTTGGCACGATGAGCTAGTGGTTGCAGGGTAAGGTCGAAGTAGAACCCCGGAAAGATAGGGCGATGATGGGGTTCGGACCGAGCTCGCCGTCGAGTGTTTTCAAGGTTCCCGGGTTCGATAAAGTTGTCGGTCTGGCCTTCCGGAGGGAAGGGTTGGGTCTAGGTCGAATGATGGTCCGGTCAAACGAGCAGCCTCGACCTTGTTTGATGTATGCTGCACATCGTACCGAGAGGAACCTGTAATGCCGGAGGAAGAGCCAAGAACAAGAAGAGAAAAAGAGGAGATCACGGTCAGTCTAACGTCGAGTTGAACACCTGGCTGCAAAAGCCGGCTTAGAACCTCAACTCACCCTAGCCTCTTTCCCCCGCCGTTCGCCGTTCAATGACATGCCTGATCCGCCTTGTTTCAATCGGCACATGCGAATTTCTTGCTGAAGTATCTCGTCGAGGTGACGATCTTTGGTAGCGTTGTGAGGTCTACCGCCCGACTTTGCACAGGCGAAGTGGAGAAAGAGGTCGATGGATGGTGATATTGTCGAGGTCGAGCTGTTGATGACCGTCTTTCGTGGAGAAGCCGATCAGGGATTTAGATTTTCGAGCGAGGAGCTCGAGCACCAATCCGCAGATAGGAGATTGGGACGGGTAAATTGGTCCACCAAAGACGGGAATGAAGGACGATATGGGTGGGAGTTATGATCGTTTTGGACTGTCGAAGTGGAATGGTTGCTATGTCGAAGACCGGCCAGCGGAGATCGACGTCGTCTCAGCAGCAGACGGATCTCCTTGCGAGACCCGTTGGCTAGCCACTGGAGGCGGAGAGAGGAGCAAGTAGATCCTCAGCGATCAGCCACTCATCTCGCTGCACAGGATCTGCGGTAGGAACTCACTACGCAGGCAGTAGGGCTACAAAGTTGCAGTGCGCGCGGTAACGACTATCTCAATCAGGCCGGCAATTTTTCTGGTTCTTGTGCAGCCAGTCAATATTAGCTATAGTAGATGTGATTGTGGTCGCTGTCGATTTTCTAAGTCCATCCTAATAGATCTAGGGAAGAAGAAGGATCGCTAAGATCCCAAGCTGGATCTACTCGTCGTTGGAAAGAGGAAGAGGTCGAACTCGGTGACCTCCGAAGTCCCCCTTGTCAAACAATCTTCGACTCGATATGACGTGTCAATTGTGTATGGAAAAACGTGGGTATGAGCGCGTCGGCCAGCGTCGGCGTGACGTAAGCGGTTCGGCAGCGCGTTTCAAGATGCGACATGTCGATGAGCAGCTGGAGCGGGCGATGGCAAGATCTTTGATATACGTGACTTGACTACTGTTAGATCTTCAGTTATTAGGTCATTACCTTGGCGCTGATAAATGTTGCATACCGTTGCTGGAGCATTATGTTCAGCACTTCCCCCTTGAGTCTTGCGACATCCCATACGCAGGCGAGATCGGAACGAGGAGGATCGATGATATCGCCTCGCGCCTCGAGAATTGGAGCCAGAGTAGCAGCTTTGCCGGCAACCTCGAGAATCGATAAAAACTCTAGAGCTTTCCGCTAGTCTCCGCCTGTCGTTGGCTCGATCATCCCAATGATGGCCTCTCACTCACCTAGGCTCCCGAAGAACAAGATTGGCCTTCGGCTTTGAAACCGATGTTACACGTTGCTAATCCGGAATGTGCGCCTGGATTACTTATGAAAACTGCAACGAGATTACCATGACGCCTGTAGCGTGCAACAAGACAGCAAAGGTGACGATCACGCCACACACTTGTCGCGCATAAATTGAGTCTTGAAGTAGCAGCCTGTTATCGAACAACCCATCTGAAGCCCATAGAATCTGTGCATATGTCCTGAGGAATAGGTTCAGGGTTTGACAATGCAGTGTTACTCAAGTGATCGCGAGATCATCGTCTCGGTTCTTTTTTCAACAGATCTCGTCAACTAGTGAATTCACTCTGCACGATCTATTGATCGAGAGACATCCAAATACAGACGAACGCCACAGTCAGGGATTCGATCTGACGTTATCAGTCCGAGTAACGTATCAAACGAGAGTTGCGGTGCGTATATCGAAGCTCCAATCCTTGCGTTGCACGCATCGGAACGTTTTGATACACCCCAGCACATGAGTCCCGGTGTGCAGATGGCGTACACGATCGAACAAGGATAGTGTGGTCAAAGACCGAAGCTGCAGCGGTCAAATGCTGCTGGATAGCGATGAGGCGAAGAGTACAAGCTTTTTGGTTCGGGAGACTTTATTGAATTCTTCACAAAGCAGGTCGGAATGTTGTGAGCTTATCTGACCTGCAGCTTCTGTATCGCAGCCTCGGCTTGGTTCTGGGGTTAGGGGTTAGGGTTAGGGGTTAGGGGTTAGGGGTTAGGGGTTAGGGGTTAGGGGTTAGGGGTTAGGGGTTAGGGG